CTCAGATCGAATTGTCTAAGAAGTATGATTTGCCTTTAAATCTTCACTCGCGATCTGCTGGAAAACCACTGTTAGATGTTCTAAAACAACAGAATGTAAGGGGAGCCCTCCTTCATGCATTCGATGGCGGAAAAAAGGTTAAATTGTGTTATAAATAGCTTACTGTTGCTGTTTTGTCAATAACATAGATGAACTGCTTTCACATGATTTTCATGTGGGTGTACCATTTTAAATCCATCTCAAGTTTCGAACAGAAACATGGGCTGAACTATCTGAAATTTTAAGTCTTCCATGCTACAACGACTGTACCACCATTATGGCTACATACCACTCCCAATTACCAATCAGTTGTAATGAGACACCTTAGTTAAACTTCTTGATTGTTGACAATGTGTCAGATTTACCGGCTATTCATGTTGTACCTCCTCATACCCTTCTCCCTCAGTGTAACATATATATATAGTGTTGTAATGGTGTTTTCGTTTACATTGCTTTTGTATATTTTCTTCGTGCTGAACATTCGTAAAATTTTTGAGATGCTCACCCACCAATACCAAATTGCATAGTTGCAAGTTCAGATCTGTACTTGTAAAGCATCTAAAGCTACTGGCTAGATACTGTATGGCTGCTTGTTCGGTACATGGCTTATAGGGTTAAAGTATATAAGTAATCTGTAATATAGGAAATCACGCAGTTACACTTATTTCATTTGTATGTTGTACTACTTGTTCCTTTCTAAGGAGGGGAGTTTTCTAGAATACCCATTTGAAGGCCCGATTTCATAGGATTGGCTTATCTCCTTATCTGGTCTTCGACAATTAGCTTTTATCTACGGTAAAGGGCGGTTCTAATTTAAAATCATGATCTCATAGAAAATTAAACTTTCAATGGTTTCAACATGAAATATCATCTCATAATACATATAAATATTATCTCATAATACATGTATTGCCGTTTCGATTTCCTAGTATAGTTATCCTGGCGAGTTTGTACAATTTTGAAATCAGATATGGTTTATCGGTAAATCGCCATTTGATGTTGTAATTTTATTGTTGAAGTAATGGAGTTTGCACACTTTCCGTGTGCAATAAATATTGTTTGCTATTTGCCACCTATCCAATAGCAAGAGTCACAATATAACATGTCTCATGAGATTCTTGTGCATATAATAATAATAATGCCTGTCCATGTTGATAGTGATGTAATCCTCAGATTAATGTACAAGAATCATGATACAGTTCATGTTTTTGCTAGCAAATCATGTTTGCATTGGTTGGCGGGTTGCCAGTATTTCAATTAATTTACACATGACGAGCAGGATTTGATGACCTGCCTTTCAGGCTATCAAGCAGGGGGTCGAAGATGGTCACTATTTTTCGATAGCACCGTCACTTGTGCGGGACCCCTCCCAAAAGCAAGTAGCAACGAGTGTTCCACTTGACCGGATTGTTCTAGAGAGTGATTCTCCTGCACTCGGCCCGGTAAAAGGTCAGAGGAACACGCCACTTAATTTATTACAGACTGTTGATCATCTAGCAGACTTGTTGAGCTGCTCTAGGGAACAAATAGTTGAGATCACCACACAGAATGCGTTGAGACTCTTTCCTAAACTGAAAAATCATATTAAGTTATGATTTACCGATCATTCGGTTTAGTCTCAGGTAATAGTTATTCATTGTCGGTGTTTTAATCTTCCTAATTCTTTCTCAGTGATAGTTATTTAATGTATTTATGGTCGGGGTTTTAATTATCTTAATACTTTCTCATTTATTAGAATTTTAACGCTATTGCCTGCGTTTATATCGGTTATATAACCTGTTTTGTTTGCGAATATGCTTAATTTACCAGTGACTTAAAAGTATCAAGCACATTCCGTTTTCTAAACAAAGCACATTGTAAACTTAAAGCGATGCATCTGATTATGCTGGAGTCCTGCAGAGTTTAAACATTGTTAAGTTACTTGAATTATTAGATGTCAGGTACGGATTTCGAAACGAATTTATATTATATATTTCGGGTAAACGTTTTATGAACTGCAGTTGCCTTCTGAATATTTGATTTTGCTTTCAGACCTCAGAAACCTTATATTATTATAATGAAAAGGGCTACAGGGATTGGATACAATCTTGAGTATAATTTTGAATCAGACTAAGGTTGATATTTAGACAGTGGACATGTAACCTCCCTGGTAGAGAGAGAGCTGTCCGTGTACTTCCTTGTGAGTTACATCAGAAGTTCAGACTTGCTCGTAATATACATATATGTGTGGTGCCACTTGCCAGGTACGGTGTATCACTATAAGTTTCACAAAGGCACGAGATTACACTAGTTACACTGACATAATGTCTCCACTGAGTGAGATTTCCTGTTGAACACAGAAATTACATCATATGTAGCTAGCTGCTAGTCCCAGCCCTGTAGCTAGTCCCACTCCTGTAGCTAGTCCCACCCCTGTAGCTAGTCCCACCCCTGTAGCTAAACCCACCCCTGTAGCTAAACCCACCCCTGTTGCTAGTCCCACCCCTGTAGCTAGTACCACCCCTGTAGCTAGTACCACCCCGGCCCTGTAGCTAGTCCCACCCCTGTAGATAGTCCCACCCCTGTAGCTAAACCCACCCCTGTAGCTAGTCCCACCCCTGTAGCTAGTCCTACCCCTGTAGCTAGTCCCACCCCTGTAGCTAGTCCCACCCCTGTAGCTAAACCCACCCCTGTAGCTAGTCCCACCCCTGTAGCTAGTCCCACCCCTGTAGCTAGTCCCACCCCTGTAGCTAAACCCACCCCTGTAGCTAGTCCCACCCCTGTAGCTAGTCCTACCCCTGTAGCTAGTCCCACCCCTGTAGCTAGTCCCACCCCTGTAGCTAAACCCACCCCTGTAGCTAGTCCCACCCCTGTAGCTAGTCCTACCCCTGTAGCTAGTCCCACCCCTGTAGCTAAACCCACCCCTGTAGCTAGTCCCACCCCTGTAGCTAGTCCCACCCCTGTAGCTAAACCCACCCCTGTAGCTAGTCCCACCCCTGTAGCTAGTCCCACCCCTGTAGCTAGTCCCACCCCTGTAGCTAGTCCCACCCCTGTAGCTAAACACACCCCTGTAGCTAGTCCCACCCCTGTAGCTAGTCCCACCCCTGTAGTAAAGTTAAAAAGAATTCGAAATCAGGATCACTAAAATGACTGTATAATTTATATAAGTAAGTTGGTTTTGTAGTATTACTAGTCCAACATTTAGGACATGTGATCATTTTAGGAAACTTCCGCCCTTGTGTCATATGATCGACCTCCGCCCTCTCGACTTCCGCCCTCGAGTCCAACCTTTTAGGAAACTTCCGCCCTTGAGTCCTACGCCCTTTGGTCTTCCGTCCTCGCGACTTCCGCCCTCGCGACCGATTCCCATAGCTAGTACCACCCCTGTAGCTAGTACTACCCCTGTAGCGACTCCCACCGCTGCAGTAGCTCTCACCACTGTTAGTCAGTAGTCTCGCCCCAGCTAGACACACTACATAATGCCCTACATAATGCACTACATAATGCCCTACATAATGGTGTTTACAATCCCTGGTGCAGATCCACCGCTGATTGGCAGTGAGGCACGTCTTGCTTTTTGCTTAACATATAACGTAGTTTTATGATCTGATTCTACTTGTTGGCCAGACATGATCTCTTGTTTTGCTTTATACAAGCAACTTGATGAGGGACTACAGCTATATAGCTAGAGGGGCTGTATTGCTAGAATGCAATCTCTGTGTTGTTTTCAGATTCATGTGACTGCGGGAAACCCTTCTCCTGCCTCCATACCGTTTAAGTTGAATTACTAATTGAAACTTTAAAGTCTTTAAAGTATTGTCTTTTGAAATTTGTTGAAACTGCATATAATATTAAAGTTAAAGGTAAATACCATCGTGTTCTATGAACTACCTGACACTAAATCACTGCTCGCTCTATTACGCAGATTAATTTGTCGGAAACACTAAAGAATGAGAGCTGGATTAAAGCCAGCCAGTTCAACCTATGTCAAACTGTAGCCGTAATATGGAAAATTATCTTTAATTTAACCGAGATTGGTCTAGGATACGCTGAAATAATGCTCAAGTAACCGACATTGATTAAAGCAAAACAAAAGGTTAATGCTCGCTAGTAAGGAAATTACGGCTCAAATAAGACGAGCAGAGGTCGAACTATTTGGTCAAATGAGCTGTCTGTTACTGAATTGTGTAATCTTGCCCGCTATTTTCTGTCACGATTGTTCCCGCACATACTTAGTGCTACTTATACTTATAGTCTGTCAGTCTATGCAACCTCGTAAGTGACTGCCTAAGCATGGGACAAACTTTAACAATGGTAGGGATATGGGGGGGTCAAAAATTTATGTGGCACGGCCGGCTGTTTAAAAAACTTTTCAGCGAGCCTTATCGTAAGGTTATTTTGAGGCCATTATTTGCCGCTTTTAAAAGTTGTAACACTATAACTAGCGTGAATATGCATTATTTTAGTTTAATGAGTTAATATAATAGGCCAGTTAATATAATAGGCCAGATGTTCATATCATGTTACATAAAGCATTAGATCAGCGGAAGTACATTAAATGTACGATTATTTAAATAGATTTCACTTACCTAATTGTATTTTGAAGGTAGGATGTAAGACGCAGCTGGTACTCTTAAAAACACACACAAATGGCACTCTCCGATACAGACCTTCACTGGATACCCATGAACCGATCCAAGTTCAACCAGATCCGGCGGATGTTCGACACCAAGTCCCCAGAAAATCTGGGCAGAAGTCAGACACTGCCCCGGATGCCATGTGACAAATGCACCTCGCCCCGGATCGGTACACTTCCGCGGAGAGCGTATCCGCACTAGCTCAGGTAAGAGAGGAGAGAGAGAGAGAGAGAGAGAGAGAGGGAGAGGGAGAGGGAGACTGGAGAGGTAGAGAGAGAGAGCAAATATAATGGTCACAAGACAACCATACGAGTGCAGTATACTGTGTTGAATGACAATATATGTTGTACATTTTGAGGTGAGCACCGCGTGTGGCCCCCCTCTCTTTTCAGAGTGAGAACAATTAACCAGTAATACATAGCTCATCTGATTTCGTGTTGTTGTGCTAACAACTTAACTACGTGATCTATATATCAGTGTATGAGTAGATGGCAAAATACTAGGCTGAGTCGAGCTTATCTCTGATGTAACTGTTGTCATCCGATACATTTATTATTATACTGTACCCGGCGTATCGCACTCTCTCTCTCACTCTCTCTCCCTCACTCTTTGCTTGTGCTGTTTGTAATTGTTTGACATGTCACAAAGTGCTGGTAAACGTACTCGTAGATCGTCTCAGAGTTGCTCACTGTTTTGCTTGCAGATTCGAGCGCTGCTCCGCCCCGTGGACCCAGACAACTGCAGTACTTCATCCCGATCCCGCAGCACCAGCGAAGACAGCGTCGACTTACGGACTCGAAATCATCAGCTAACGCCCAACGGAATCGTTGTTATTGATCCGCTGTTGTGTTCCAAAAATTTAACTCAGATTAATGACAATAATGGGACGGTTACTAATAATGACTGCACTGATAAGACTCGAAATGAGCGGTCGGTGTGCGAAACTGTTGCGGAGGTCACTGAAAATGTGACGGTCAGTGAAGTGGCAGATCGAGATTCAGCGGACAAAACGAACACTAACGCTAATAATATCGATCATTCTAATTCAAACGGGGAACTTTCATCTACTGAAAATCACGTGATTCTCGAAAATGGGGACATCAGAAATGGGCATCATCTAAACGGTGTTGTCAACGCAAACCACACAATCGACGGGGACCTGGGGAAACCAGAAAGCGATAAGGAAATCAGTTGTGGGTCTGACCTGCCATTGTTAGACAACGATAAGGAAAATAATTCTTATCTGGAAAACGGCAACTGTGACAGTTCAATCGACGAGGAGATAGCTAATAACAGTATCTACCTCAAAATGGTGAATGATGAGGCAGAAGTATTGGCGAAGGAACGTGAATATTTTGTTACTCTAATTGAGGAAGCTACTGCTGCATCTGAAGAAGGTAATTTTGAATTCAAGTTAGTTTTGTTAGTTCTCATCAATCAACCAAGATGCACACCAGTACGTCTCATTCAACTAAGTTGTCAACTTTTAAATTGAGAAGTATTAACTGCTCATTCTGGTCATTACGAGCACTCAATATTGTGACCCTAGCTTTCTATAATCAAATAGCTCCGTCTTAAAATATCATAGCATAACACGGACACTATTAGCAGCTTCTACCAAATATGGATATATACTATATAGAGGAGGGTAACGCCCTGTGCAGCAAGATGTTGTCGCTGTCGTGACTTAAAACTGCCCATTTTATTATGTATTTCGTGGCTTAACTGTTTCCCTAAATGTATGTTTAAAGGTAGTATTCACTATTCAATAGGTATTTAATAGAGTGTAAGAGTGAGTGCCAAGTATTTTAGTTGCTAAATCATCACGTTAACACTGACCACCCATTCATTTCACCATGATACTTGATGACCTTTGTTATGGAAGCCTTACGCCCCAACAATCCGCATCTGGTAGAGAATGTTTCCCCAGCTCTATATTAGCTTATATTTTCCAACTGTGACTGCATAATATTCAACTCCGCAAACCTTGTACACTTTCTTCATCAACGAATTGAAAACAAGGATTCCTAAAAAGTAATGCTCAGTAAGCCTGTGAAATGTGTAAAACAAATGTCAGATTATACTTACGAGTTGCTGAAGGGAGGGAGGCCTGACAAGGAAGCTCAGTGCATGTCTAAAGCGAGATGCAGTATATTTAGTACCGGGATACACTGAATATGTACATGTAATAATGATATATGGTGATAAGGTGTTGGCTGACTAGGGCAGCCCATGTCTGTAACTATACAGCGCCTGTGATGTTCGCTCCACTCGGTCACTGCACTATTATTGGTGTAGAGTTTCAATCTATCTAATCTTAGTGTAGGTAGACACGGGGCACTGTGGGCAGAATACTGTGTACATATTAACATGTGTCTTTATACATGTAGCTCTCGTATCTGCAGAATTAATAGCCTAGCAACTTGTGACCGGCTAAGTGTCGTCTTTCTGTCAAAATAGGTGAGAATGTTTGCCTGCAGCCTCGTGTACAGCTACTAAATATACAGAAACTGCTAAGCTGGCCATTTTCTTGGCGCAGTTTGTGGAATAGCACTGAAATGTCATTATATATATATTATATATAATGGTGAAAGGTCAGTGTGTGTTAGCTGTGTGGCGTGACGAAAATCTCCAACAATTCGCTCTCAGTTCATACTATCGAGCTGCCGCAACTTAGCAGAGCTCTGACCATAAAAAGCATTGATTTATACACAGCCCAGGTCTCAGAGCTCGCTCAATACCCAGTACTACGTTTTAGTTTAGATCACTAATGGAGAAGCCGTTAGAAGTAAGTCTCCCAAACGCTTTCGCGTGTCAGCACTCCCAGCCCAACTCTTAATCCTTGAATATAAAACAGCAGCCTTATAAAATATAGCCGATATTGCTAAAGTTAGGTAATGTTAGTTGAGGTGAGGTTTACGTAGTGTTATAGTTCTCACCTCTAGTCACGTGATGTGATGGCAGGACTGCAGAAGGGGGTTTCATAATAGCGGATAAATTATTTAGATTAGCGGTGTGAAACTCCTGTTGGCCGTACCTGGCTTGTTGACTGGATCCAATTAGCAAACCAGAATGTGGGCAATTTTCACCAATTACCACCGCTCGGCTTCCCCAATAATCACGTTTCATATTCATGTCTCACATTGAAACCATTTCAACTGACATTCCATTCTCCATTTACTGTTAGCTAAATGTCACAATTAGCCGAAGGTTTCTGAACAAATTCCACTACTTAGCCGAAGTCTTGAAGCATGTAACAACCGTAACAACGTGTAAAGTATGTGTGGCTGGTGGGTGCTCCCTTGAAGCTTCTTTTAAACATTCCAATAATTTCAGCTGGTGGACGAGTGATGGCGAGTTGCGGCAAAGCTAACTTACTGCTAACTTCCAAGTTTAAACAGTACAGAGGGCTCTGTGCTGAGTTCGAGGTTTGTCAAGTTCTTCGAACAATGTCTTTTTATAACCAGTGTTTAGCTATTAAAACGCATGTTGTTAGATTCGGGTGTTGAATACAATTTCTAACAAGCAGGGCCCCCCCCCCCCCCCCCCCAAGCATGTTTGAGTGTAATAATTTCTGGATTACACAGGAGAAAATAGTTTTGCATTTCTTTAATCGTGCACTAAATTGAAGGTGCAATTACGGACGTCAACAGGAGCTAAATTGTTGAGCTCCTGTCAATTATACACACCACAAACCAGGGGAATGGGATTGGTTTATTTTGGGAAGGTGTTTAGGTGGCTGACCTTCACTCACATTGACACATATTTCTGTAAAATACTGTGTCAGCTTACACTCGGAATGTATAACAATTATAATATGTGGTGTTACCAGAAATAGTCTAGTCAGGTTTTAAACCCTTTGAAGAAAGCTATGGCACACGTACAACGTAGGTGTTGTTTCAGGAAATTGATTTTAAGTTGCAGCTAAGTTGATAAAAACTAACCAATAACCATATATATAACTTGATGATAAGCTTTACCAAGTGATAATGTGGCGAAGCTATGAAGATTTTCTCAATATCCTAACTTTGCTTTGACAAACAACACTAACATTCTTACGCAGGAGTTTGCATATTTTCTAGCATCTAGAATGTTCTTTGACTGCTTGCATTCTTAGAGTCAAAAATACTTGTAGTCACCTGCAGTACCTGACCGTATTTTGGCCCGAAGCCCGAATGAAATAATGAAGTTTGTGACAGTCTTATCAGGGTATTCCCATGAAGCACGTACACAGTATTAGAGAGAATATCTTATCGCAAAGTACCCTATGTGACTGTAACTGGTACCAGTTGTGATATATTAGTGACGGAGACCCCACTGTTTATCACTACCTTAACCCAGCTGCTATAACTCAATAACTAAGAGTTTGCTCCCCAACAATAGTGTCATTATATAACATCTCTGGGTTGTTACCATGGTTCCAGTTACACCGCAATCTCCACAGTAACCACAGTAACCACAGACCATACTGAATAATAAGTAATAACCTGACCCCCTCAGCTGTTTATCAGTATCTGGTCACCTTTTATTATGTCAACTTTAAACACTCCTAATAATAGTCGAGGGACTTGAGGTCTGAGGTCTGAGGAGTGTATATTACATCAAGTTGACACATTCTTGATGATCTCGCTGAATTACTGAAAATAAATACCTTAACACGAGTCAGCAGATCTGTAAAAGATCTTTGATTTCTATTTTTATCACCATGAGACCTAGGATCAGTAATTTCTCTCTTTACAATTACTGATCTCATTCGCTGACTAGACTCCATACTTAGGAGAGTAACTACTTAGGAATAACTTAAGAAATAACTTAGGAATAAACAAGAAGTGGTTAGTTGCACCTACTTGCCGGGCACGCAATCTTTAATACCCGTTTATACCCAGTCACTCCGTCACCTAGTGCCACTAGTTCCACTAGTTCAGCCATATGTTTATACCCAGTCACTCCGTCACCTAGTGCCACTAGTTCCACTAGTTCAGCCATATGTTCGGTCAGGTTTTTATAACATGTCACCGTTAAATCTCCCATGGGCTTTGGGAATTACGATTTAATAACGCTTAACTTAATGCTATATTTACTTTACATACCTACACTAGAGCGGTTTCGTGGACAATAGCCTGAGAGAGTCTCAGTGCGTGGTGTATGTGACCACAGTGACCGTAGAGTTGTCAAGCAAAGAAATAAAATATAATGTTCGTATATATTATGCTACATAATGTACAATTATTATATTATGAGAATATTAAAGTCGTTGTCGGAGGAAAGTAGTCTCAATATTCAGCTCGCTAAATCTACTTTGTACACTCTAAAATAACTCTTACACTCACAAGAAGCACTGTTTTCGTGGTAAAATAAATCACCTCATCGTTATATCTGTATTATGTGTCCTATTAATATATTATGTATGCTAGTATTCATTTCATTTGGGTAACAAAGTACGCCAAATTACCGTACTTTAGTTCAGTACCTCGTGACTCCACCAAGTTAGTAAACAAGCCTCTCCCGGAGCCGGGAATAACAAGGATACATTGCAAACTAGACTGAACATCAAGTAAAACTATCAACAACTTGACTGTGACAAGTCTGCCATATGAACTTGTGATGAACCCCTCTAAGATACTTACTACAGGTTATGAAGGACACATATGATACACTGAGCTGTACCGTGTAGTAACTGCACGGTGCAGTGTATACTGTGTGTACACGGTGTGTATACTGTATGTACACGGTGTGTGTACTGTATGTACACGGTGTGTATACTGTTACATGTAGTTACATGATATTAACTTAGTTCCTGTTCTAACACACACACACACACGTGCGCTTGTACTCAATGTCCTCACTGTAGCTTTAATTACCATTTACTTATCCCGGCCAATGAATGGCCACCATCAGCTCTTACCTACCTTTTATTGTTAGGTATAATGAGATTAAAATCCTAAACGTTACCAGATTTTACTAGACTAGACGTGATCTCTCAGTAAAGAAAACTCCAGAACATCCTAGTTCTTTTAAAAAGGCGTGTCCACGGTGAACGATCTATTAATAGTATTCTTCAGTTATTGTTAACACGTGGTCGTTTGATCGTTTACACCAAAAATCACGCGGTTCTTTTTTCTCGGAAAATGTTAACAAAATGGTCGCCCAGAATAATCGCACTAACCAAATATTATTAAAATACTTAGAACAGCTCAGGTATGTATTATGTATTTTTTGTAACATTTCCTATAAGTTGAAATATACTCATTATAATTAAATCATATGCTCATCAGATCATCGGCAAAAACGAAAACATTTGTCGTAAAAACAGTGACATAGCGAGTGTAATATTTTATATTACCATGTTTAAAATTGGCCCACTTCCATACTAATGCAAAATACATACAGGAGCCCCTGTACAGTGTACGTATAACTTTTTTGCATTAGTATGGAAGTAAGCCATTTTTAAACCTAGGGGGTTCTAGAGCACAACAGATCATAGTTGTAGTCTCCAAATGTGGCTACATCTCATTTATCTGACCGATAGTCATTGTCTAACTGTAATGAGTGGTCTTTGTTAATGTAGCGTGTAAACTCTACCATGTGATATACACAGGATACATTGTAAACATGTCATGTGACTTCAACTGTATGCGGGAACGCTCAATACATGATAATATTATAAGTAGTTTTATTATTAATGTAAATGTTCGTTTGCAGTGAGTGATTCCGGAGAAGTCACCCTTTATTAATGTTGCTAAGCAATGTCATTTAAATTTGTCAGGTACACCCACCAATACTCTACTGCTAGGTTTAAGATAGCACAGAGCGTTGGTCTTGGCACACTATTCAATCTCATTATTTCATATAACAATACTGTCTAGTAACCTGCTATAATGTATCATAAAATGTATCTTATAATTTTATAATAGGCCAATGAGCCGTTCTGTAATCTGTATTGTCTTATGGCTATGTAATGATTATTTTGACAGGCTAGTTTTAGTACAAAGAATGTACGCGGTGTTACATCAAAAGAGTATTCAGGCTATACTCGATCATTCGAGTGAGTTATGACCTCACTGAACAAAATGTTCAAAATAATAGGAAATGTCCTCGATTTCGTGCAAAGCAAGGGAATCAAGAATCTGCTGATTAAATCAGCTCAGTCTAATATCAATATTTTAAGCTTCCCCTGGCCCTCCCAATTGTTACGAATAATTGCAAGTGTAAGACCAGGAATGCACCTGTAGAATTGTCCGTATGTGATGTACGAGGTTATTTACCTGATTTAACGGGAAGACCGTATCACGGTCACACAGTTAAACACTGTTCAGAAGTAACCTGCATTGTATCCGTGAGATGTAGTAGAATTCTCTCTCTCTCAGCCTTTAAACACGGCTATAATAAATATATCGTGAGACAATGCTGTTATGTTTAACGGTAGGGATGCCGTGCAGTACACACCAGCAAGCACTACAGTGGGGAGGCGGCTGTGTATACTAGTATAATCCATTATAACGTTAGTTAGTTTACTTATTAATTGATGGAGCTGGTGAATATTAAAAACAGATGTTTTGTCAGACCGGTGCGGTGGTTGCAAAACTTAGTACCTCATCAAACCATACTCTGAATCCAGCTGCTATTGATTTGCTAGCCTACTACTAAAGATTTACTGAGAATATGTAAGAACTAAGATTTACGGAGTATACATGATAATAAGAGTTGTACTGGCAGTTAGATGATCTAAAATTAGTCTGAATCTAGTCTTAGTTAGTGAAGGAGGTCGGTAAAGGAGGTTTTACTGTACAGTCAACTAGCCAACTGAATTGTTTTACATTTAAAACGTTCTGCTACAGGATTATCCAACTGTAGTTCTTTTAAGACTTCAAAAAGTCGAAGCCTGTAACGATCCAATTATTTAGTCGATGAGAAGAAATAATCGAGCATTATCTCAGTTATCAGGCTACTTAATAATAGCTGTCAGCTGTTTCTTGAGTAAATAATATCGCCTCATCATCAACAGAGAAAAAGTTCCCCTAATTAGCTGTATATAATTCGTTTCATGACACATGTGTATACAGTGTAATAGTGTAGTGTAATTATAAGTGTAGATCTGTAAGTGATTAGTAGCATAGTCCTGCTTTATAAGATTTCATGTGGCGTTTGTCCTTTGCCTTGAGGGTCGAAGGAACGGAATATTGAGTTGGTGAGGGAACTGCTTAGAAAATGTAGATTGGGGTTTCTGTAGGACTCGTGAGACGGTTGGGCGAGACAAATTATTGTACAAGTGTTAAAAATGAGGATCATTTACCGTAAATGAGGCCTGGCGACTGGTTTATAACTTCCTAATACCTTCATTATATGTTCAGATAACGTGAATATAAAAACGGTTTCCCAATATAACCAGGGTGCTCCAAATATGGAAACATAAAGAGAAAAGAACAAATCTGATTTGAAGGGAGGAATCCAAATTTGTCTTTGTCTCTAACATAACTTTCAACTACGGTTCGAATATCAAGTGCCCACTATATCATTCTCTATGTACCCAGATTACCAGAGAGGTCTCAGGGACTAGGTTCCAGCTAGCTCCAATTAAGTACTCCGAAAGTTCAACTAGAATAAAAGTTAACGTTATATCAGCCATTTAAAATGCACTGTAACGGTAGTCTAGACTAAGATACTGATTTTGAGTTATAGTTCGAAACAAACTTCCTTCAGTAGAAAGGGTCTTTTGAGGAAGGGGTTGGAGCTTTAATTGTTGCAGCTCATAAGTGGAGCTTCACTAGAAAGTGATTGTTCAGTGCCTGGTACATATTGAGTGCATGCTAGGTCTAAATTAAATGCTTGTAGGTTAACTGTTCTTATTAGGATTCCAGGATTCCAGGATACCAGGACACTCTCAACTCCTCGGTTACAATATAAGGGTTACTGATCACTTTTAATGTTACTTGTAGATCATATGTTTTCAAGCAGAAGACCTCTCTTCTTGCTATCTATAATATTCCTGGCGCCCTGCAGTTAGATCTACAGATCTAAGCGTGTCGGTATGCTCTTCTTAGTAACTGAGTTATAATCAGTAACGGCACTGTCATGGTGATTTATCACCGTAACTCCGTAATACCGCGCCCCTCAAATCTATGTTTTAAGCAATACTCCTCCTTGGCTGGAGCCACTGAGTCGACATCTGCAGTCGATCTCTTAGTTCTCAGTATGTCTGTACTGCATACCAACATACCATCATACCAGCATACTCATGTATATAATAATGACATTCGTATCAGTATCCTGGCTCTATCATAGAGATCTATGATAACTGGAATACCAAGCTTAAGTCTTTAAGATCATCGGATGGCAGGAAGAAATTTTGTGCACTAAAGGCATGTTTTCAGGTTCTGGAATATGAATATACTTTCCTTTCGGATAAGTTAAGCGCTCCAATCACTGTATATATCTGGTCATTGAAGATATAAATAGGTCCAGTTATGGGGTGAGGCTTTCTACAAAATTTGAACAATTGAAGTAATTCGATATCGGGTACTTGGCATTCATAGTAATGCACTTAATTCATCTTGAATCGGATAAGTGGTCTATAAAACGTTGCCTCTTTCATATTTCATACTAAAATCTTGAGTATGGGCGCCATTTGGTGCGATTCTTTAGGTTAACTCTTTTAAAAGCGTAGGTAAGACTTCACAATTGCTATTAATCGAACATCATTTCGAGCATCTCCATACTTATATCAAATCCTAAAAGTGAATCCATCCCCGCTTATAATAAATACATGATACCATTTCATACTGTACTGAGAACTGAGAAGATTGCTAGGTCAGGTGATTTCTGTCCAAGTCACGTACATCTAAAATTTAGTTTCATACTTCATAGCATATTTAGACTTCACGGGAGGGGTGGTAAACATTTCCAAGCCATCTGTCATTAACGCTCTCCCTTGAAAGTGCTTTTTTGGTACTGGAAAGATGCCACCTAAAATCGAGTGACACTGAATTTAATGTGAGTTTTAAAAGTTTAATTTATCCTAATTATTGCGCGCAACAGCGTGACAAGTGTAACACGTCTCTATTCCCCCAGAGTACCAGCAGAAAGATGACAGCTGATGATATGCAGGGTTTCTGGGAGCTCATCCTTCTTCAGGTATTTTTATTGTGAATTTTTATTTTACATTATAGATTTGAGAATTATTTCCGATCGATAACATTGTTGGGAAATTTAAAATGGTTTGATCAAGTTTGCAATCTTAAGAGGTCGATAATTTGATAGTATTCCATAGTCTTGGTTTCTAGGTAAGCGATCATCGATCATCCAAACAGTTCCCTATCCTCAACCTCGCCCATTGCATGTTTAGTGTTTACTGGGTTCCGTAATCCGTTCAGAGAGCATTAATTCGGGCAATACGATCCGCTAAATTTCCGTGCCTTCCATTTGGACAGCTACAGCACGAATCCCCATCTCCATAATTTCAACAGTTACAATCTAGGTCCTCCTAGGACCGGATATCGGTTTTATATTTCACCATTCAATACATATAATACGTTATATATATATACGTTATATGTTATCCGCATCAATCTGGTGGTTTCACTTAAACCCCTACAAAACAAAAGGCTGGTGTGAAGAATAGTGCTGGGTGATAGCCAGGGAGTCGACACGTCGAACACCTTGTCAAGGTGTGATAGACTGCCCATATTATCCTGACCAGACATTAATATCCGTCTGTTAGCCGCGCTAAAATAGTATTCTCCTTGTGCCACTAACCAGCCCTGGCTATAATAGCTGGCCGGTTATAAAACCAGCCTGGCACGCCCGTTATATGTGGGCGTAATTGTATCGGAATAGTAAAATATGCCACTAATTTGACTGATTGTGCGTTAAGACGGTGTCGGATGTTTACTTGGATTACCTTATCTTATCTCTGTGGTGGTAATCCGTCTTATCCAAGTTGGTAGTTTAGTCGGATATTTGGGAGGTTTCTAAGATAGAATCCGTACTTGCAGTATCCTTATCTCTATGACGTCATCCACACTTGATAATATCCCAGCATAATAGTACTCTCTACCGACTAATATCATCTTATTAATAGTATTCAAATTTACTGGATAAATTATGTCTGGTAGAAGAATTACGGAATTATTTGGATATTATCCTTACTGTTGGCGTGCAAGGCGGCTCGATTCATTCGTTACAGTCTGCGACAGATGTTCTAAAAATCATATATTTCTCCCCCTCTCCCTGTCTCCGATTATGCCATATATGGAAATATGTTGGAACAGTTCACTCTCTACAGCCAACCAGCCCTGTGTACAGTTGGTGGCTAAGCTCCAGTCTAACTCCCCTCACGCTGACTAATATCATTTATCTGAGCTACAAGTATAAATAGCCCTATCTCTCTCGACAAGGTTATGATAATGTAATAAGCCCGTTCACCTGACGACTGACAAGGGGCCAGGGGACAGGGTGATGACCGGGCCGGGGGCCTTGTCATTTCTGTAGAATATAAGAAATGTTATCACAAAGACATGATCTGGTGTAAAATTTAATTAAGATCCAGTGTACTAATAAACGTTAAACCTCACTTGCGAGAGCTCTGTTTAACCCACACCGGGGCCGGGGTTGGATTACGACATCAAATTTGATTACAGCTCATCATTACGAGCCGGATGAGCGCATAATGGTGACATGATGTAACCCTAAACGGGTGAATCTGACCCCTCTTAATGGATTTGAATCGCGGTGAATTTAGCAGCACGCAGAGTCGTACAAACGTTAGTAGTTACCGTGTGTGCGATATTTAGTAGCCGGAGTGTGAGCTCGGAGTGTGTCAAGATATTCAATATTTGACGATGGAGTGACATTTTTTCCGTTCACACTCTTTTGTAAAAAGACAATAGTGAAAGGTTACGAATGGACGTTTTTGCAGAAAAACGTGGATTTTGGAGAACGAGATAGGTGGGTTTAAATATGTCGTCCGTCCTTTCGTTAGTTACCATGACAACTAGCGCGCAGTGCAGCGCGCGAGTATTGCTTGCGGAGATATGATGTATATAGCTAGCATGTCAATAAATGCGCGGCGTGAGTGTATTAATTAATGTATAGTATTAGGTAATGAGCCCAATTTGTACGTGGCATGCGTACTCGTAGTATAGTGTACTATGTGTATATTATTATTATGCAGTGAGCTGATTACAGCTTATATTTATAAATATAGTGAACGGAAATCTAGCGTCCGCCAAAACGAAACAACGGGCGCAATTCTTGTTTAGTGAATTGTTCTGTTGAAAGGAACTGTCTGGAATTTCACAAAGTTTCAGATAATTGGCAGCTGTCCTTGTAAGTCTAGTCGTAGACAACATTTTCTCTGTATTAATGTTGTCATTCTACCCAGGTTGAAGACGTCAACAAGATGTTTACTGCGCTGAGAAGTCTCAAGGAAAACAACTGGGTCATCCCCAAATCACCGGTTAGTTGATAATATCACTCAATTTGAGAATTTTCATATCGTCTCAAATTACTAAGAAACGGATACTAAGTATTTATGAGATATAATCATCAGTCATCAGCGTTTATTTGAAAACCAGCTAGTCGTCAGTTTATACGGGGCGACTGTAAACCCTGCTGATCACTGTTACACATCATAGTCTCATAATTATATTGGATATATTAATCTTTATATCATGCTAAACGTTACGTTTAACATGATATGAAGTTAAGTCGTGATTAGCAAGTTTATGCCATATATGGCAATAGAATGTGTTTATTGTCCCCGGCGCGTTTTGTTTGTGCAAGCTTCTGTGCAAACTTCACTGCACGCCTCTTTTACAAGGAAATTACGTAACTATAATGGGGTGTTGCCAAATTCTTTCCAATCATTGTGCAGAGTTTGCACTCCCCGCATACTTAAACGACAATTTCACCGGTTCTAACATGGTAGAATGATGGTAAACACTACGTCAGACCACCGTTTAGAATGACATATCCGGGATATCCTGATACTCAGGATATTGTGGAATGTTTTGGTTGCTCAGTAGACTGAGAGGTGCAGAATGTTAAAAATATCCACTAATCACGTTTACACATGAGTAAGCATTGTGTAAGTAATAAGATTATATCCAGTTCATTCGTAGCTGTTCTCTCATTCACATTATTTGAGTGGTTTGTGGACATAAAACGATGAGAACTCTGAGAAAATACTTTTATTTTCACTTTATCTATGGTGTGTCATTCTCTTTCATTTTCACTTTACCCGAATTATTTATCTTGAAATAGATCAATCATACCTAAACGGAGCACGATATGACAATATAACCGTTACTGGAAGGCATTAAAATGTTGCTGTGATAAAACAGATCCAGATAAACTGTTGATCATCCTTTGATCGTCAAGTATTTTAGAGCAGTTTACGATAAAGACATAAACGAGGAAAACAATTATTCCTCGTGATCCGATTTTTCCCGCCTCAAACTAAGTTAAATATAGATCTGTGATCTGTAATTGCGTGAGATACACAGCATGGTGTATCTTGATACACTGGCTAGACAATAAAATTTGGTTTTCATTGTAATGATGAAATTCCTAACATTTTCGATATCATTTCGCGGCCTGATAGCGTAATTTAGGACCACTAACATGTAACTACATGGTCTGCATACCTTGTAAATACCTAAGTCACTGTCTGATTTAATCAGCATTGTCCTTGACAATTCTTTCTGGAAATTTGTAGGTTTCTAGAAATTTGTTAAGAGTGCAACTAATTTTAGCTAATTCCAACTGAACCGCGGCTTGAACCTTCAGATTTGGTGCAATTAAACCACAATTTACAAACCTAACTCCGTGTCTAATTGGCGGTAATTGGGAGAAACAATTTGGCTTTATGACGTAATAGCACACATAGAAGGAAAATTATCTGCTCACCTCTTTTTATACTAGCCGGCACCGTCACTAGGACTAAATTAGTGTTGCTAACATTACCTCACTGTACTCTCACACTGCTCCTTATAACGGACATTCCAACAAGAAACTACCAAGCATTGCATTCCTGCGCAGACTTGGAATATTTTATAGTTTTATTATACTTGACATGGGATTCTCTAACCTACATTCCTCCCCCAGATGCCTAAAAAGAAAGGAGCCGGCACGCCACGAACACCAGCAGCCAATAAGAAGAAGCCCCGGGAAAAGTCGGCTGCCCAAAAAGCGAGGGATGAAGAACGTAGGAAGATGTTACTCGCGAAGAAACTTGAGATGAAGAAGAAGATGCAAGAGAATGGGAACGTGCCAGAGGTTATCATTACCTAAGGAAGTGTGTGGTCGACCTAGCCTGGATCAGGGTAAACGGGCTGGGGTGACAGAGACACAGGTCAGATGTTAGAAGCTGGGTTTAGGATAGCGGGATCACGTGATAGTAGATGGGAACACGTGATAGTAGATGGGATCACGTGATAGTAGATGGGATCACGTGATAGTAGATGGGATCACGTGATAGTAGATGGGATCACGTGGTCGCTATTAAGAGACGGTCTGGTTGGTGTGATGACCCGTTAATAGGAATAATAGGATCTGGATATTTGTGTAATTGTTGTTTCCTTGTCCGCTGCTGATTGTGTTCCACGACCTGGACAAGCCAAAAGGCGAAAGGTTCCCGCAAGTTAAACTGCTCCACGAATATGTCTTCCTTAGACAAGCAGATCCTATTACGAGTTTCTGAATGATAATTAATTGAGTTCTAGTCTAAAGTGTTGAATTGAGAGTACCAATACAAGTTGATCGATTTTCTGGTCACATTTTTTTGATTGAAAACTGATAATTTGTAGTGTAATTAGCACTCCGTGCAACAATTGTTTGATTTGAAGGTAAGAATTTAAGTTGATGAGTGGTTTAGGCCAGTTAAAGATGAGATTGGATTATGCGTATATCTGTAAATATGCTATTTGATTACTAAAATTCTAAACGTTTTTCCTTTTATTTTTTGAAAAAGCGAGTGATTTTGTGGTCATTTATTGTTGTAGTTAAATTTTATAAAAATCAAGAAAAAATAATTGCTCAGTGTAGTTTTATTGTAGAAGTGTTATTCTTGCACAGTGCGGTAGTTTTCAAAAGGATTGCATTATGGTGAACAATTATTGACAAGCAACGCAGCCTAAGGTCATCATTATAGCATAGTCGAGATGAGGGATCGTTCACATATTACTTGAGGTCCCCCACGGAATTTCCTCCAGAATCATTGGTTCATTTTAACCTGACGTGAAATTGGAAGATAACTCCCTGCTCCTGTCAGCAATCATTCATTTCTAGTAACGCTCTCCCCCTAAATATGTCACATAAATGTGAACGACCCCTTTACCCTTAAAGTCATGTAGAAATCTGCCTCTTTGACGAATGAATGTTAATATAGATGGTGTAGTTCATCTAATTTTCAAAAACAGAGCTTTTAATAAAAATGAGTATTTACTATTTTCCATTTGGGCAATTTTAGAAGTAAATAGATGCATTTACAAAGAGGCATGTTAGTAGAAGGAGAATTTAAAGGTCGTTACCATGTTCAGGGTTTTTACGTTTAGTAGGGTATGTGATGTTTATTGTATTTTTAAGTGCAATATTATATTTACTGCATAATGTGGGATGACCATATTTTGAAAACTAAGTTTTTTTGGTTGAAGAGAATATTCAAGTCAATTTTTAAAATGAGTTCTCAATTTGGTTATTTGTACGTTTTGATTGGTTTACCGCTTTCGTATGAAAAACATCCACGTTTATTACACTAAGTCGATAACTTTTAATTTTGTTTAACTATTTGTTTGCATGTCAATGTGTAAATCTACTACAATAAACTATCTTGTCTTTTTTTGTCGTTGAAAGATCGCCTAGAAAATTTGAGAACGAATGACTATGCTATGATTATCACTACATTCGAATGCTTACTTTGTTTGAACAGACGTTTAAGATTTGTACCTGACAGAGGAAATTACGAACGGTCTACTTTTTTCCAAAATGTAAGATAAAAGTTGAAAGCCGTGAGCATCTAGCGTAACGCTTATACGCGCGCGCGCGTTCTGTTAGCTAAATCTAACTGATCGCGCGCGGCGCGCAATATTTACAATTCTGGTACGTACAGTACATTATATTAGTAGATCAGATTATAGATCATACCAAAGAGCTCCTATACTCAAAAGTAATCACCCAAGTGTTCAATTTTAATTGGCTGGGTGAAGTTGGAAGTGATGACCCGCCGCGCACGAGTGTGCGGCTCCCCTGTATCGTATAAGTGAAATTAAATGGGGGTCACGACGTGATACAATAATCATTTAGAATACTTTTGAAAGAAATCCACAAGCTCGAAATAACGCTATTGCATTGTCTTATTTCGCTGTAAATAGCACAACAAAGTGAGTATAAGCTGCTGCGCTTGTCATCATGTTACTCTCTTTCAAAAATACATCCCAATTGCAATTTGTATAAGTGCATATTATAGTGCGATGCACTACCAACTACTAAGCTGCGCATCCAATTGTGCAATTAAGTGCTTCTCGCAACCGTTAAATCGGCAAAATGCACCAATTGTGGAAATTGGGCCACGCCGAGCTGCGAAGGATTGACATCGTAAATTAAAATACATATATTGATTTGGAATACATTGCAAAATTTGATTTCGATTCATGAAGTTGAAAGAAGTTACAGTAATGCGCGCAATTTGGGAAGTGTATATTGTATGTGCTTTCAGTGAAAAATATATAACCGGTACCTTTTTAATTGTTAAACCATCGTTAAAATAGTCATAAAATACAAACCATTTAATTGTGCCATTGTGGCAATTCGCCACGCGCACTTCACATTATATAATTGTGCATATTGTGCGCGGCAGCGAATTGGAACCTCTTTTCAAGCATATACTTAATACATACACGTTGTATACTTCTTTCACGCATGGCACGAAGCACATATATGTGAGTAAAGAGAAGCGAGCAATGGACTAACAAGCTAAGTAAGCCAAGCTTAAGTGTCTATGTCCAAATATAATAAACACGTCACATATATTTCGAAAGTATTCGTGATCAGCGTCCGAAAATTTATCGATTCAAGGTGGTTTTAACTGATGGGGGCCCTTATAGAACATTCTCGAAGATCGACTGTAGAGTGAACGATCTAGAAGGGATGACATCGTCAATCAACTGATAGCTAACACAATTACAAAAAATTTGATGATAGTGACGGTCCTTTGTGTCAGCCCTATCTTGGGAAAATGGAAGAGTCTTTTCGACTGGTCCGGTGATCCAGTATTATGGTCAAATACCCGTGGACGGGAGGGAAAACCGGAACTTAAACCTACCAACCGCCAATAAAAGAGGAAGAAACCATGCCAGTAAAAACAGACTCATTAGACCACTGGGATCGGCAATAATCTCCAATCTAACTAAGGAACCTAATCGACAAAGATACAGTAGTAAAGGAATCTTCTTCTCGCATGAAGGTAAGATTGCTGAGCAAAGCGTGTGCGCATTATAAGTAGCAATTGTGCTTTACTCTAATCCGAGCCCTCCTGCTGAAATAGCTCAATAGTACAATTCTTTTAAAGCTCCAGCATTCTCTCCAACGACGTAAGCTTGCACTTTATGTAGGATGTAACAATAATGGGCTCATCTTACGTCATGTAACTACTAATAACAGAGTCATGACCTTGATCCAAAAAATATTTGGGGTGATGATTTCGTTTTTTATGGACGATGGTGTTTTCTGGTAAACCAGCATTATGGAAGTCACTCTTTGAGGTTACACTGCTAACAAGGCCTTCAATTGTGCTCTGGGGATGAGTTTGTGAACTTGAACCAAGCATAGTTTGAGTCCTTGTACCGGAAACCCACACTAAACGTTATCTCTAACGGTTGAAGTAGCATCCTACAATGTATAGTACTGCAACCAGGGCATTAAAAGCACAACATAGATAAAAAAGCACATGCCAGATCTTAAACCTGCAACCTTCTAATGTCTCCAAGCTAACACATACCTAACAATTATTGTTTCATTGAAACTTAAACTTATTGTTTCAAACTTACTGTTTCAATGACTTGGCAGGGCAACGTGTCATAGGAAGTTTTGTTGATGATAGTTAGTGTCGTAATTGTCAGGTATTCCAATTCACTGACATTTTCACAAGAAGCAGTGGCTATAATAATAATAATAATAATTCTATACAGTTACATAATTGAAACAATTATGGCCCCTTATTGTGGGCAGAGTATGTGTCTTTATTGAATTGTCCTGATATAAACTTATCTGAGTGACTGCATTAAAATAATTTAAGGTGAGTTCTCTTGAAACTTTAAGACAATAGGAATAAATACTAGGACCTAATAAAATGAAAACAAAGTGCAGCCATCTAATTTGTTGTTGAGCTTTCTCTTCTCCTACGGTTGACTAGAGGAATTATCTTTGGCGAGTATTAGGAACTTAGACCATTACAAATACCGTGCTGTAAGTTTGCAAGGCATGTGGACTAAGTGGGTCGAGAGTGGGTGTAAAGTATGTGTGGCTGGTGGGTGCTCCCTTGAAGCTTCTTTTAAACATTCCAATAATTTCAGCTGGTGGACGAGTGATGGCGAGTTGCGGCAAAGCTAACTTACTGCTAACTTCCAAGTTTAAACAGTACAGAGGACTCTGCGCTGAGTTCGAGGTTTGTCAAGTTCTTCGAACAATGTCTTTTTATAACCAGTGTTTAGCTATTAAAACGCATGTTATTAGATTCGGGTGTTGAATACAATTTCTAACAAGTTTGAGTGTAATAATTTCTGGATTACAGAGGAGAACATAGTTTTGCATTTCTTTAATCGTGCACTAAATTGAAGGTGCAATTACGGACGTCAACAGGAGCTAAATTGTTGAGCTCCTGTCAATCATACACACCACAAACCAGGGGAATGGGATTGGTTTATTTTGGGAAGATGTTTAGGTGCTAACCTTCACTCACATTGACACATATTTCTATAAAATACTGTGTTAGCTTACACTCGGAATGTATAACAATTATAATATGTGGTGTTACCAGAAATAGTCTAGTCAGGTTTAAAACCCTTTGAAGAAAGCTATGGCACACGTACAACATAGGTGTTGTTTCAGGAAACTGATTTTAAATTGCAGCTAAGTTGATAAAAACTAACCAATAACCATATATAACTTGATGATAAGCTTTACCAAGTGATAATGTGGCGAAGCTATGAAGATTTTCTCAATATCCTAACTTTGCTTTGACAAACAACACTAACATTCTTAGTTCTTACGCAGGAGTTTGCATATTTTCTAGCATCTAGAATGTTCTTTGACTGCTTGCATTCTTAGAGTCAAAAATACTTGTAGTCACCTGCAGTACCTGACCGTATTTTGGCCCGAAGCCCGAATGAAATAATGAAGTTTGTGACAGTCTTATCAGAGTATTCCCATGAAGCACGTACACAGTATTAGAGAGAATATCTTATCGCAAAGTACTTCATGTGACTGTAACTGGTACCAGTTGTGATATATTAGTGACGGAGACCCCACTGTTTATCACTACCTTAACCCAGCTGCTATAACTCAATAACTAAGAGTTTGCTCCCTAACAATAGTGTCATTATATAACATCTCAGGGTTGTTACCATGGTTCCAGTTACACCGCAATCTCCACAGTAACCACAGTAACCACAGACCATACTGAATAATAAGTAATAACCTGACCCCCTCAGCTGTTTATCAGTATCTGGTCACCTTTTATTATATCAACTTTAAACATTCCTAATAATAGTCGAGATCTGAGGTCTGAGGTCTGAGGAGTGTATATTACATCAAGTTGACACATTCTTGATGATCTCGCTGAATTACTGAAAATAAATACCTTAACACGAGTCAGCAGATCTGTAAAAGATCTTTGATTTCTATTTTTATCACCATGAGACCTAGGATCAGTAATTTCTCTCTTTACAATTACTGATCTCCTCGTCATTCACTACCTAGACTCCAGACTTAGGAGAGTAACTACTTAGGAATAACTTAAGAAATAACTTAGGAATAAAGAAGAAGTGGTTGGTTGCACCTACTTGCCGGGCACGCAATCTTTAATACCCGTTTATACCCAGTCACTCCGTCACCTAGTGCCACTAGTTCCACTAGTTCAGCCATATGTTCGGTCAGGTTTTTATAACATGTCACCGTTAAATCTCCCATGGGCTTTGGAAATTACGATTTAATAACGCTTAACTTAATGCTATATTTACTTTACATACCTAAACTAGAGCGGTTTCGTGGGCAATAGCCTGAGAGAGTCTCAGTGCGTGGTGTATGTGACCACAGTGACCGTAGAGTTGTCAAGCAAAGAAATAAAATATAATGTTCGTATATATTATGCTACATAATGTACAATTATTATATTATGAGAATATTAAAGTCATTGTCGGAGGAAAGTAGTCTCAATATTCAGCTCGCTAAATCTACTTTGTACACTCTACAATAACTCTTACACTCACAAGAAGCACTGTTTTCGTGGTAAAATTAATCACCTCATCGTTATATCTGTATTACGTGTCCTATTAATATATTATGTATGCTAGTATTCATTCCATTTGGGTAACAAATTCCGCCAAATTACCGTACTTTAGTTCAGTACCTCGTGACTCCACCAAGTTAGTAAACAAGCCTTTCCCGGAGCCGGGAATAACAAGGATACAGTGCAAACTAGACTGAACATCAAGTAAAACTATCAACAACTTGACTGTGACAAGTCTGCTATATGAAGTTGTGATGAACCCCTCTAAGATACTTACTACAGGTTATGAAGGACACATATGATACATTGAGCTGTACCGTGTAGTAACTGCACGGTGCGGTGTGTACTGTATGTACACGGTGTGTATACTGTATGTATACTGTATGTACACGGTGTGTATACTGTATGTACTTACATGATATTAACTTAGTTCCTGTTCTCCCACACACACACACGTGCGCGTGTACTCAATGTCCTCACTGTAGCTTTAATTACCATTTACTTATCCCGGCCAATGAATGGCTACCTTTTATTGTTAGGTATAATGAGATTAAAATCCTAAACGTTACCAGATTTTACTAGACTAGACGTGATCTCTCAGTAAAGAAAACTCCAGAACATCCTAGTTCTTTTAAAAAGGCGTGTCCACGGTGAACGATCTATTAATAGTATTCTTCAGTTATTGTTAACACGTGGTCGTTTGATCGTTTACACCAAAAATCACGCGGTTCTTTTTTCTCGGAAACTGTTAACAATATGGTCGCCCAGAATAATCGCACTAACCAAATATTATTAAAATGGGGGGGGTGTCACGTCCGTCTATGTCCGCTTGTCTCATAGAATCCAAAAAGGACAGGACATAGGCGGACATAGGCGGACATAGGCGGACATAGACGGACATAGGCGGACATAGACGGACATAAACGGACATAAACGGACATAAACGGACATAAATGGACACCTAAATTGCTAAATAAAATGTTCAATTTTTGCTGTTATATGGAGAGATCATGTTTTTTGTCCGGTACCCTATATTTTCAAAACGGACAAAAAATAGAGCGGACAAAAACGGACAAAAATGGAAATAAAATTTAGATGCTTCCTCCTCCTACTCTTCCTCCTCCTCCTCCTGGGTCTTCCTGATCTTCCTCAGTCCTCTTCCTCCTCCCCTCCTCAGTCCTCCTCCTACTCCTCCTCCTCGTCCTCAGTCCTCCTCATCAGTCCTCAACAGTCCTCCTCCTCCCCAATCCTCCTCCTCCTGAGTCCTCCTTCTGGGTCCTCCTCCTGGGTCCTCCTCCTCCTCTTCATCCTCCTCCTCAGTCCTCCTCATCAGTCCTCAACAGTCCTCCTCCTCCCCAGTCCTCCTCCCCCCTCCTCCTCCTCCTATTCAGTCCTCCTCCTCCTCAGTCCTCCTCCTTCTCAGTCTTCCTCAGTCCTTCTCAGTCCTCCTCCTCCTCCTCCTCTTCCCTCTCAGTCATCCTCCTCAGCCATCCTCCTCAGTCCTCCTCAGTCCTCCTCCTCAGTCCTCCTCCTCCTGGGTCCTCCTCCTCCTCTTCATCCTCCTCCTCTTCCTCCTCGGTCCTCAGTCCTCCTCCTCAGTCCTCCTTCTCATCAGTCCTCCTCCTCCTCAGTCCTCTCCCAGTCCCCCTCCTTCTCCTCCTCCTATTCATTCCTCCTCCTCCTCCTCCTCCTCAGTCCTCCTTCTCATTTCTCCTAAGTCCTCCTCCTAAGTCCTCCTCCTCCTCTTCCTCCTGAGTCCTCCTCCTCCTCCCTCTCAGTCATCCTCCTCAGTCATCCTCCTCAGCCATCCTCCTCAGCCATCTTCCTCAGCCATCCTCCTCAGTACTCCTCAGTCCTCCTCCTTCTCAGTCATCGTCAGTCCTCCTCTTCAGTCCTCCTCAGTTCTCCTCCTCCTCCTGGGTCCTCCTCCTCCTCCCCCTCCTGGGTCCTCCTCCTGGGTCTTCCTGATCCTCCCCAGTCCTCTTCCTCCTCCCCTCCTCAGTCCTCCTCCTACTCCTCCTCCTCGTCCTCAGTTCTCCTCATCAGTCCTCAACAGTCCTCCTCCTCCCCAGTCCTCCTCCTCCTCCTGGGGCCTTTTCCTAGGTCCTCCTCCTGGGTCCTCCTCCTCCTGGGTCCTCCTCCTCCTGGGTCCTCCTCCTCCTGGGTCCTCCTTCTCCTCCTCAGTCCTTCTCCTCCTCCTCTTCCTCCTCCTCCTCCCTCTCAGTCATCCTCCTCAGCCATCCTCCTCAGCCATCCTCCTCAGTCCTCCTCCTTCTCAGTCCTCCTGAGTCCTCCTCCTCCTGAGTCATCCTCCTCAGTTCTCCTCCTACTCCTCCTCCTCGTCCTCAGTTCTCCTCATCAGTCCTCAACAGTCCTCCTCCTCCCCAGTCCTCCTCCTCCTCCTGGGGCCTTTTCCTGGGTCCTCCTCCTGGGTCCTCCTCCTCCTGGGTCCTCCTTCTCCTCCTCAGTCCTTCTCCTCCTCCTCTTCCTCCTCCTCCTCCCTCTCAGTCATCCTACTCAGCCATCCTCCTCAGCCATCCTCCTCAGTCCTCCTCCTTCTCAGTCCTCCTCAGTCCTCCTCCTGAGTCCTCCTCCTCCTGAGTCATCCTCCTCAGTTCTCCTCCTCCTCCTCCTAGGTCCTCCTTCTGGGTCCTCCTCCTCCTCCTCCTGGGTCTTCCTGATCCTCCTCCTCCCTCTCAGTCATCCTCCTCAGTCATCCTCCTCAGTCATCCTCCTCAGCCATCCTCCTCAGCCATCCTCCTCAGCCATCCTCCTCAGTACTCTTCAGTACTCTTCAGTCTTCCTCCTTCTCAGTCCTCCTCCTGAGTCCTCCTCCTCCTGAGTCATCCTCCTGAGTCCTCCTCCTGGGTCTTCCTGACCCTCCCCAGTCCTCTTCCTCCTCCCCTCCTCAGTCCTCCTCCTACTCCTCCTTCTCGTCCTCAGTCCTCCTCATCAGTCCTCATCAGTCCTCCTCCTCCCCAGTCCTCCTCCTCCTCCTCCTGGGGCCTTTTCCTGGGTCCCTATATAATTTGATATAATAAGTTAAAGCTATTAATAGCTTTAGTGTGATTAATAAGTCGTTTGTTTTGTACAAAATTATAATACATAGAAGTTGCGAAAAATTCTCAAAATGTTTGTCCGCTAATGTCCACCAATGTCCGCTAATGTCCACCAATGTCCGTCCGAGTCCGCCAATGTCCGTCCGGGTCCGCAAATGTCCGTCCGAGTCCGCCAATGTCCGTCCGAGTCCGCCAATGTCCGTCCGTGTCCGCCAATGTCCGTCCGAGTCCGCCAATGTCCGTCTGTGTCCGCCAATGTCCCAAAAAACACGTCCGTTGTCTCATAGAATCCAAAAAGGACAGGACATAGGCGGACATAGACGGACGTGACACCCCCCCCCCCTAAAATACTTAGAACAGCTCAGGTATGTATTATGTATTTTTTGTAACATTTCCTATAAGTTGAAATATACTCATTATAATTATATCATATGCTCATCAGATCATCGGCAAAAACGAAAATATTTGTCGTAAAAACAGTGACATAGCGAGTGTAATATTACCATGTTTAAAATTGGCCCACTTCCATACTAATGCAAAATACATACAGGAGCCCCTGTACAGTGTACGTATAACTTTTTTGCATTAGTATGGAAGTAAGCCAATTTTAAACCTAGGGGGTTCTAGAGCACAACAGATCATAGTTGTAGTCTCCAAATGTGGCTACATCTCCTTTATCTGACCGATAGTCATTGTCTGACTGTAAACAGTGGTCTTTGTTAATGTAGCGTGTAAACTCTACCATGTGATATACACAGGATACATTGTAAACATGTCATATGACTTCAACTGTATGCGGGAACGCTCAATACATGATAATATAAGTAGTTTTATTATTAATGTAAATGTTCGTTTGCAGTGAGTGATTCCGGATAAGTTACCCTTTATTAATGTTGCTAAGCAATGTCATTTAAATTTGTCAGGTACACCCACCAATACTCTACTGCTAGGTTTAGGATAGCACAGAGCGTTGGTCTTGGCACACTATTCAATCTCATTATTTCATATAACAATACTGTCTATTAACCTGCTATAATGTATCATAAAATGTATCTTATAATTTTATAATAGGCCAATGAGCCGTTCTGTATTGTCTTATGGCTATGTAATGATTATTTTGACAGGCTAGTTTTAGTACAAAGAATGTACGCGGTGTTACATCAAAAGAGTATTCAGGCTATACTCGATCATTCGAGTGAGTTATGACCTCACTGAACAAAATGTTCAAAATAATAGGAAATGTCCTCGATTTCGTGCAAAGCAAGGGAATCAAGAATCTGCTGATTAAATCAGCTCAGTCCAATATCAATATTTTAAGCTTCCCCTGGCCCTCCCAATTGTTACGAATAATTGCAAGTGTAAGACCAGGAATGCACCTGTAGAATTGTCCGTATGTGATGTACGAGGTTATTTACCTGATTTAACGGGAAGACCGTATCACGGTCACACAGTTTAACACTGTTCAGAAGAAACCGTAACCTGTATCCGTGAGATGTAGTAGAATTCTCTCTCTCTCTCAGCCTTTAAACACGGCTATAATAAATATATCGTGAGACAATGCTGTTATGTTTAACGGTAGGGATGCCGTGTACACACCAGCAAGCACTACAGTGGGGAGGCGGCTGTGTATACTAGTATAATCCATTATACCGTTAGTTAGTTTACTTCTTAATTGATGGAGCTGGAGAATATTAAAAACAGATGTTTTGTCAGACCGGTGCGGTGGTTGCAAAACTTAGTACCTCATCAAACCGTACTCTGAATCCAGCTGCTATTGATTTGCTAGCCTACTACTAAAGATTTACTGAGAATATGTAAGAACTAAGATTTACGGAGTGTACATGATAATAAGAGTTGTACTGGCAGTTAGATGATCTAAAATTAGTCTGAATCTAGTCTTAGTTAGTGAAGGAGGTCGGTAAAGGAGGTTTTACTGTACAGTCAACTAGCCAACTGAATTGTTTTTACCTCATGGACTTACATAAACGTTCTGCTACAGGATTATCCAACTGTAGTTCTTTTAAGACTTCAAAAAGTCGAAGCCTGTAACGATCCAATTATTTAGTCGATGAGAAGAAATAATCGAGCATTATCTCAGTTATCAGGCTACTTAATAATAGCTGTCAGCTGTTTCTTGAGTAAAGCATATCGCCTCATCATCAACAGAGAAAAAGTTCCCCTAATTAGCTGTATATAATTCGTTTCATGACACATGTGTATACAGTGTAACAGTGTAGTGTAATTATAAGTGTAGATCTGTAAGTGATTAGTAGCATAGTCCTGCTTTATAAGATTTCATGTGGCGTTTGTCCTTTGCCTTGAGGGTCGAAGGAGCGGAATATTGAGTTGGTGAGGGAACTGCTTAGAAAATGTAGATTGGGGTTTCTGTAGGACTCGTGAGACGGTTGGGCGAGACAAATTATTGTACAAGTGTTAAAAATGAGGATCATTTACCGTAAATGAGGCCTGGCGACTGGTTTATAACTTCCTAATACCTTCATTATATGTTCAGATAACGTGAATGTAAAAACGGTTTCCCAATATAACCAGGGTGCTCCAAATATGGAAACATAAAGAGAAAAGAACGAATCTGATTTGAAGGGAGGAATCCAAATTTGTCTTTGTCTCTAACTTAACTTTCAACTACGGTTCAAATATCAAGTGCCCATTATATCATTGTCTATGTACCCAGATTACCAGAGAGGTCTCAGGGACTAGGTTCCAGCTAGCTCCAATTAAGTACTCCGAAAGTTCAACTAGAATAAAAGTGAACGTTATATCAGCCATTTAAAATGCACTGTTACGGTAGTCTAGACTAAGATACTGATTTTGAGCTATAGTTCGAAACAAACTTCCTTCAGTAGAAAGGGTCTTGATCTTTTGAGGAAGGGGTTGGAGCTTTAATTGTTGCAGCTCATAAGTGGAGCTTCACTAGAAAGTGATTGTTCAGTGCCTGGTACATATTGAGCGCATGCTAGGTCTAAATTAAATGCTTGTAGGTTAACTGTTCTTATTAGGATTCCAGGATTCCAGGATTCCAGGATTCCAGGATACCAGGACACTCTTAACTCCTCGGTTACAATATAAGGGTTACTGATCACTTTTAATGTTACTTGTAGATCATATGTTTTCAAGCAGAAGACCTCTCTTCTTGCTATCTATAATATTCCTGGCGCCCTGCAGTTAGATCTACAGATCTAAGCGTGTCGGTATGCTCTTCTTAGTAACTGAGTTATAATCAGTAACGGCACTGTCATGGTGATTTATCACCGTAATACCGCGCCCCTCAAATCTATGTTTTAAGCAATACTCCTCCTTGGCTGGAGCCACTGAGTCGACATCTGCAGTCGATCTCTTAGTTCTCAGTATGTCTGTACTGCATACCAACATACCAACATACCAGCATACTCATGTATTATATAATGACATTCGTATCAGTATCCTGGCTCTATCATAGAGATCTATGATAACTGGAATACCAAGCTTAAGTCTTTAAGATCATCGGATGGCAGGAAGAAATTTGGTGCACTAAAGGCATGTTTTCAGGTTCTGGAATATGAATATCCTTTCTTTTCGGATAAGTTAAGCGCTCCAATCACTGTATATATCTGGTCATTGAAGATATAAATAGGTCCAGTTATGGGGTGAGGCTTTCTACAAAATTTGAACAATTGAAGTAATTCGATATCGGGTACTTGGCATTCATAGTAGTGCACTTAATTCATCTTGAATCGGATAAGTGGTCTATAAAACGTTGCCTCTTTCATATTTCATACTAAAATCTTGAGTATGGGCGCCATTTGGTGCGATTCTTTAGGTTAACTCTTTTAAAAGCGTAGGTAAGACTTCACAATTGCTATTAATCGACATCATTTCGAGCATCTTCATACTTATATCAAATCCTAAAAGTGAATCCATCCCCGCTTATAATAAACACATGATACCATTTCATACTGTACTGAGAACTGAGAAGATTGCTAGGTCAGGTGATTTCTGTCCAAGTCACGTACATCTAAAATTTAGTTTCATACTTCATAGCATATTTACGCTTCATAGGTAGCTCAGTAATCATAGTTCACAGCATATTTAGACTTCACGGGAGGGGTGGTAAACATTTCCAAGCCATCTGTCATTAACGCTCTCCCTTGAAAGTGCTTTTTTGGCACTGGAAAGATGCCACCTAAAATCGAGTGACACTGAATTTAATGTGAGTTTTAAAAGTTTAATTTATCCTAATTATTGCGCGCAACAGAGTGACAAGTGTAACACGTCTCTATTCCACAGAGTACCAGTAGGAAGATGACAGCTGATGATATGCAGGGTTTCTGGGAGCTCATCCTTCTACAGGTATTTTTATTGTGGATTTTTATTTTACATTATAGATTTGAGAATTATTTCCGGTCGATAACATTGTTTAAAATGGTTTGATCAAGTTTGCAATCTTAAGAGGTCGATAATTTGATCGTATTCCATAGTCTTGGTTTCTAGGTAAGCGATCATCGATCATCCGAACAGTTTCCTATCCTCAACCTCGCCCATTGCATGTTTAGTGTTTACTGGTGTCCGTAATCCGTTCAGAGAGCATTAATTCGGGCAATACGATCCGCTAAATTTCCGTGCCTTCCATTTGGACAGCTACAGCACGAATCCCCATCTCCATAATTTCAACAGTTACAATCTAGGTCCTCCTAGGACCGGATATCGGTTTTATATTTCACCATTCAATACATATAATACGTTATATATATATACGTTATATATGTTATATGTTATCCCCACCAATCTGGTGGTTTCACTTAAAACCCTACAAAACAAAAGGCCGGTGTGAAGAATAGTGCTGGGTGATAGCCAGGGAGCCGACACGTCGAACACCTTGTCAAGGTGTGATAGACTGCCCATATTATCCTTACCAGACATTAATATCCGTCTGTTAGCCGCGATAAAATAGTATTCTCCTTGTGCCACTAACCAGCCCTGGCTATAATAGCTGGCCGGTTATAAAACCAGCCTGGCACGCCCGTTATATGTGGGCGTAATTGTATCGGAATAGTAAAATATGCCACTAATTTGACTGATTGTGCGTTAAGACGGTGTCGGATGTTTACTTGGATTACCTTATCTTATCTCTGTGGTGGTAATCCGTCGTATCCAAGTTGGTAGTTTAGTCGGATATTTGGGAGGTTTCTAAGATAGAATCCGTACTTGCAGTATCCTTATCTCTATGACGTCATCCACACTTGATAATATCCCAGCATAATAGTACTCTACCGACTAATATCATCTTATTAATAGTATTCAAATTTACTGGATAAATTATGTCTGGTAGAAGAATTACGGAATTATTTGGATATTATCCTTACTGTTGGCGTGCAAGGCGGCTCGATTCATTCGTTACAGTCTGCGACAGATGTTCTAAAAATCATATATTTCTCCCCCTCTCCCTGTCTCCGATTATGCCATATATGGAAATATGTTGGAACAGTTCACTCTCTACAGTCAACCAGCCCTGTGTACAGTTGGTGGCTAAGCTCCAGTCTAACTCCGCTCACGCTGACTAATATCATTTATCTGAGCTACAAGTATAAATAGCCCTATCTCTCTCTCGACAAGGTTATGATAATGTAATAAGCCCGTTCACCTGACGACTGGCCAGGGGACAGGGTGATGACCGGGCCGGGGGCCTTGTCATTTCTGTAGAATATAAGAAATGTTATCACAAAGACATGATCTGGTGTAAAATTTAATTAAGATCCAGTGTACTAATAAACGTTAGACCTCACTTGCGAGAGCTCTGTTTAACCCACACCGCGGCCGGGGTTGGATTACGACATCAAATTTGATTACAGCTCATCATTACGAGCCGGATGAGCGCATAATGGTGACATGATGTAACCCTAAACGGGTGAATCTGCCCCCTCCTAATGGATTTGAATCGCGGTAAATTTAGCAGCACGCAGAGTCGTACAAACGTTAGTAGTTACCGTGTGTGCGATATTTAGTAGCCGGAGTGTGAGCTCGGAGTGTGTCAAGATATTCAATATTTGACGATGGAGTGAAATTTTTTAGTGAATTGTTCTGTTGAAGGGAACTGTCTGGAATTTCACAAAGTTTCAGATAATTGGCAGCTGTCCTTGTAAGTCTAGTCGTAGACAACATTTTCTCTGTATTAATGTTGTCATTCTACCCAGGTTGAAGACGTCAACAAGATGTTTACTGCGCTGAGAAGTCTCAAGGAAAACAACTGGGTCATCCCCAAATCACCGGTTAGTTGATAATATCACTCAATTTAAGAATTTTCATATCGTCTTAAATTACTAAGAGACGGATACTAAGTATTTATGAGATATAATCATCAGTCATCAGCGTTTATATGAAAACCAGCTAGTGGTCAGTTTATACGGGGCGACTGTAAACCCTGCTGATCACTGTTACACATCATAGCCTCACTGTTACACATCATACCCTCACTGTTACACATCATAGCCTCACTGTTACACATCATAGCCTCACTGTTACACATCATAGTCTCACTGTTACACATCATAGTCTCACTGTTACACATCATAGCCTCACTGTTACACATCATAGCCTCACTGTTACACATCATAGTCTCATAATTATATTGGATATATTAATCTTTATATCATGCTAAACGTTACGTTTAACATGATATGAAGTTAAGTCGTGATCAGCAAGTTTATGCCATATATGGCAATAGAATCTGTTTATTGTCCCCGGCGCGTTTTGTTTGTGCAAGCTTCTGTGCAAACTTCACTGCACGCCTCTTTTACAAGGAAATTACGTAACTATAATGGGGTGTTGCCAAATTCTTTCCAATCATTGTGCAGAGTTTGCACTCACCGCATACTTAAACGACAATTTCACCGGTTCTAACATGGTAGAATGATGGTAAACACTACGTCAGACCACCGTTTAGAATGACATATCCAGGATATCCTGATACTCAGGATATTGTGGAATGTTTTGGTTGCTCAGTAGACTGAGAGGTGCAGAATGTTAAAAATATCCACTAATCACGTTTACACATGAGTAAGCATTGTGTAAGTAATAAGATTATATCCAGTTCATTTGTAGCTGGTCACATTATTTGAGTGGTTTGTGGACATAAAACGATGAGAACTCTGAGAAAATACTTTTATTTTCACTCTATCTATGGCGTGTCATTCTCTTTCATTTTCACTTTACCCGAATTATTTATCTTGAAATAGATCAATCATACCTAAACGGAGCACGATATGACAATATAACCGTTACTGGAAGGCATTAAATGTTGCTGTGATAAAACTGATCCAGATAAACTGTTGATCCTTTGATCGTCAAGTATTTTAGAGCAGTTTACGATAAAGACATAAACGAGGAAAACAATTATTCCTCGTGATCCGATTTTTCCCGCCTCAAACTAAGTTAAATATAGATCTGTGATCTGTAATTGCGTGAGATACACAGCATGGTGTATCTTGATACACTGGCTAGACAATAAAATTTGGTTTTCATTGTAATGATGAAATTCCTAACATTTTCGATATCATTTCGCGGCCTGATAGCGTAATTTAGGACCACTAACATGTAACTACATGGTCCGCATACCTTGTAAATACCTAAGTCACTGTCTGATTTAATCAGCATTGTCCTTGACAATTCTTTCTGGAAATTTGTAGGTTTCTAGAAATTTGTTAAGAGTGCAACTAATTTTAGCTAATTCCAACTGAACCGCGGCTTGAACCTTCAGATTTGGTGCAATTAAACCACAATTTACAAACCTAACTCCGTGTCTAATTGGCGGTAATTGGGAGAAACAATTTGGCTTTATGACGTAATAGCACACATAGAAGGAAAATTGTCTGCTCTCCTCTTTTTATACTAGCCGGCACCGTCACTAGGACTAAATTAGTGTTGCTAACATTACCTCACTGTACTCTCACACTGCTCCTTATAACGGACATTCCAACAAGAAACTACCAAGCATTGCATTCCTGCGAAGACTTGGAATATTTTATAGTTTTATTATATTTGACATGGGATTCTCTAACCTACATTCCTCCCCCAGATGCCTAAAAAGAAAGGAGCCAGCACACCACGAACACCAGCAGCCAATAAGAAGAAGCCCCGGGAAAAGTCAGCTGCCCAAAAAGCGAGGGATGAAGAACGTAGGAAGATGTTACTCGCGAAGAAACTTGAGATGAAGAAGAAGATGCAAGAGAATGGGAACGTGCCTGAGGTTATCATTACCTAAGGAAGTGTGTGGTCGACCTAGCCTGGATCAGGGTAAACGGGCTGGGGTGACAGAGACACAGGTCAGATGTTAGAAGCTGGGTTTAGGATAGCGAGATCACGTGATAGTAGATGGGATCACGTGATAGTAGATGGGATCACGTGATAGTAGATGGGATCACGTGATAGTAGATGGGATCACGTGATAGTAGATGGGATCACGTGATAGTAGATGGGATCACGTGGTCGCTATTAAGAGACGGTCTGGTTGGTGTGATGACCCGTTAATAGGAATAATAGGATCTGGATATTTGTGTAATTGTTGTTTCCTTGTCCGCTGATGATTGTGTTCCACGACCTGGACAAGCCAAAAGGTGAAAGGTTCCCGCAAGTTAAACTGCTCCACGAATATGTCTTCCTTAGACAAGCAGATCCTATTACGAGTTTCTGAATGATAATTAATTGAGTTCTAGTCTAAAGTGTTGAATTGAGAGTACCAATACAAGTTGATCGATTTTCTGGTCACATTTTTTTGATTGAAAACTGATAATTTGTAGTGTAATTAGCACTCCGTGCAACAATTGTTTGATTTGAAGGTAAGAATTTAAGTTGATGAGTGGTTTAGGCCAGTTAAAGATGAGATTGGATTATGCGTATATCTGTAAATATGCTATTTGATTACTAAAATTCTAAACGTTTTTCCTTTTATTTTGAAAAAGCGAGTGATTTTGTGGTCATTTATTGTTGTAGTTAAATTTTATAAAAATCAAGAAAAAATAATTGCTCAGTGTAGTTTTATTGTAGAAGTGTTATTCTTGCACAGTGCGGTAGTTTTCAAAAGGATTGCATTATGGTGAACAATTATTGACAAGCAACGCAGCCTAAGGTCATCATTATAGCATAGTTGAGATGAGGGATCGTTCACATATTACTTGAGGTCCCCTACGGAATTTCCTCCAGAATCATTGGTTCATTTTAACCTGACGTGAAATTGGAAGATAACTCCCTGCTCCTGTCAGCAATCATTCATTTCTAGTAACGCTCTCCCCCTAAATATGTCACATAAATGTGAACGACCCCTTTACCCTTAAAGTCATGTAGAAATCTGCCTCATTGTTAATGTAGATGGTGTAGTTCAGCTCATTTTCAAAAACAGAGCTTTTAATAAAAATGAGTATTTACTATTTTCCATTTGGGCAATTTTAGAAGTAAATAGATACATTTACAAAGAGGCATGTTATTAGAAGGAGAATTTAAAGGTCGTTACCATGTTCAGGGTTTTTACGTTTAGTAGGGTATGTGATGTTTATTGTATTTTTAAGTGCAATATTATATTTACTGCATAATGTGGGATGACCATATTTTGAAAACTAAGTTTTTTTTGTTGAAGAGAATATTCAAGTCAATTTTTAAAATGAGTTCTCAATTTGGTTATTTGTACGTTTTGATTGGTTTACCGCTTTCGTATGAAAAACATCCACGTTTATTACACTAAGTCGATAACTTTTAATTTTGTTTAACTATTTGTTTGCATGTCAATGTGTAAATCTACTACAATAAACTATCTTGTCTTTTTTTGTTGTTGAAAGATCGCCTAGAAAATTTGAGAACGAATGACTATGCTATGATTATCACTACATTCGAATGCTTACTTTGTTTGAACAGACGTTTAAGATTTGTACCTGATAGAGGAAATTACGAACGGTCTACTTTTTTCCAAAATGTAAGATAAAAGTTGAAAGCCGTGAGCATCTAGCGTAACGCTTATACGCGCGCCGCGCGCTGTTAGCTAAGTCTAACTGATCGCGCGCGGCGCGCAATATTTACTATTCTGGTACGTAGAGTATTATATTAGTAAATATATAAGATCAGATTATAGCTAGGTCATATCAAAGAGCTCCTACTCAAAAGTACTCACCCAAGTGTTCAATTTTATTTGGCTGGGTGAATTGATAACATAATTGCTTTTATCTCACAATCGCGGAGATCAAATCTTCTGCATGTATTTACTATTTAGTTACCTGAGGACCCCAGGCTATTATGTTCATTAACATAAATAATAAAGATTTGGCGGAATGACAGGCTCAGCGCGGCCCAGTAACTATTTAGAATCAATATATGCACCAATATAAATCATTCGTCTTACCACATACGTTGTATGACCCGCCGCGCACAAGTGTGCGCGGCTCCCCTGTATCGTATATACGAAAATGGGGGTCACGACGTGATACAAACAATACCTTTGAAAGAAATTTGGAATTCCTTTGAAAGAAATTTGAAATACCTTTGAAAGAAATCCACAAGCTCGAAATAACGTTGGAGGACTTCGCCGCGCAAACAAGCATTCTTGCTTCGCATCGACGTCGTCGATCGTTGCTCTGCTTCGCAAAGCAACGATCTCGATAGATTGACATCGTCAATCAAGAAATAACACAATTGCAATTGCATTTAATTGACGATGTCAATTCATCGCAGCTCGGCGAGGCACAGTAGCGCATTTCGCCGATCTAGAAGTTGCTCCATCCAGAGCCCTTGCGCTTGCAGTAGCGCGCGCCCGCCTCACTTGTGAAACAAGCGCGCCCGCAGTGGCGCGAAAGCACATGGTTAGGACGTGAAATCTAGAAGTAACGGATCGCGCGCGTTGTAGCGCGATGCATTACTGGGTCGCGCGCGCGCATCCAATAATGCTTCTCGCAACCACAGATTGGCGAGATGCGAAGGATTGACATCGTGAATCAACGCATCGCGCTACAACAATTGCATTGTCTTATTTCTCTGTAAAAAGTTGATACATGTTACGTATCACAAATATCATTGTATCACGTGGTGACTCCCACGGTCGCTTCACTACAGGGGGAGCCGCGCACTTCGTGCGCGGCGGGTCATACAACGTATGACAAAAATATCAGAGATGGTGCATGCAACGTATGTTAAGTAAAAAGCACAACAACTGCTGCGCTTATCATCATGTTACTCTCTTTCAAAAATACATCCAAATTGTGCAATTTGTATAAGTGCATATTATAGCGCGATGCACTACCAATTACTTAGCCGCGCATACAATAGTGCAAGTGCTTCTCGCAACCGTTAAATCGGCAAAATGCACCAATTGTGGAAATTGGGCCACGCCGAGCTGCGAAGGATTGACATCGTCAATTAAAAATACATATATTGATTCGGAATACATTGCAAAATTTGATTTCGATTCATGATGAAGTTTGAAAGCAGTTACAGCAATGCGCGCAATTTGGGAAGTGTATGTTGTATGTACTTTCAGTGGAAAATATATAACGTGTACCTTTTTAATTGTTAAACCATGGTTAAAATAGTTATAAAATACAAACCATTTAATTGTGCCATTGTGGCAATTTTCCACGCGTACTTCACATTATATAATTGTGTATATTGTGCGCGGCAGCGAATTGGAACCTCTTTTCAAGCATATGCTTAATACATACACGTACGTTGTATACTTCTTTCACGCACGAAGCACATATATGTGAGTAGAGAGAAGCGAGCAATAGACTAACAAGCTAAGTAAGCCAAGCTTAAGTGTTCATTCATGTCCAAATATAATAAACACGTCACATATATTTCAAAAATATTCGTGATCAGCGTCCGAAAATTTATCGATTCAATAATAATAATAATTACAACATTTATAAACCGCCTTATAGCTAAATCATATAACTCGATATAATTTAATCCTGGAGATAAACTCCAGTGCTTTCTAAAGCGGCTCTTACATTAACTGAGCTTAGTTTAATTGAAAATTAGACATGACAAGTTCATTTTACCTATGTAAATGCAAAATCAATCAAATGCTAGAGGTGGTTTCAACTGATGGGGGCCCTTTTAGAACATTCTCGAAGATCGACTGTAGAATGAACGATCTGGAAGGGATGACATCGTCAATCAACTGATAGCTAACACAATTACAAGAAATTGATTATATATGATGATAGTGACGGTCCTTTGTGTCAGCCCTTTCTTGGGAAAATGGAAGAGTCTTTTAGACTGGTCCGGTGATCCAGTATTATGGTCAAATACCCGTGGACGGGAGGGAAAACCGGAACTTAAACCTACCAACTGCCAATAAAAGAGGAAGAAACCATGCCAGTAAAAACAGACTCATTAGACCACTGGGATCGGCAATAATCTCCAATCTAACTAAGGTACCTAATCGACAAAGATACAGTTAAGGAATCTTCTTCTCGCATGAAGGTAAGATTGCTGAGCAAAGCGTGTGCGCATTATAAGTAGCAATTGTGCTTTACTCTAACCCAAGCCCTCGTGCTGCAATATATAGCTCATATAGCTATATAGCTCAATAGTACAATTCTCAATGCCTAGCAGCACCAGACAGCAGCCGTGTACCTTTTTCGACTCCGTGGAGTTCCTGATGGACTTTTGTTTACTTTTGTTAATAATCGGATCAACCTTTCTTTCTCGAAACATGTATCCTATTGTATTTCATTATTGTATTAAAATGTAAAGATATACTAGATATTACAACGAAATAGCGGTATACCAAATTGGCCCTTGATATTAACTATAACCGTGTTGATGGTTTTAAATTTTGTATGTTGTAAGTATTATATTTTAGTTTGTGAAGCGTTTACTCCTCCCCCTCAGCAAGACAGTTAGATTGTAGATTGATGATAATAATTGTCAAATGACGTTATATATTATATAACAGTTATAAATGTTCAATAGTTGTAGAGCGATTTCAAAAGTAGTGGTCCACAGGGGCCCGAAAAAGCCGTACAGGCACTTGGGTCCTTATCCTTGTCACTAATCTCAATTGGATTCGGTTTACACAAAACATGAACATTTAGACGTACACATTGACACGATATTTATTAGAAAGCAAAAAGTATAAAATAATACGTGCGTGCGCGGCTTGAGCCGCGCCGCATAAGAACGGATGCGTGCAGGGGCTGGAGTACGCTTGTATGTAGATTAATGAAATGTTGTTCACATAGCCATGTGCCTACGCGTACTGCGTGACGCGCGCTACTGCAAGCGAGAGGGCTCTGGTTAGAGCAAGAAATGTTGCATTGTAAATATTGAGAATTGACGATATATTATGATCTAATAGTAAATTTTACAAAGCTGGCTTTGGATTTAGGTAAGATTATAATTCATTCAAAAAAACCACGGATAGTTTAAATTTATTTCTATTTGTCGTATAATCATAAACAATTTAATCCTGTTTTCAAGAATGCGCGGCTTTGGCGGCCAGTTATTGACTTATACATTAAATTGGATTTTAAATAGAAATGTGAATATATTAAAATTTAAAACTTTCAAAACGGAGGCTTATAAATATTATTATATTATGATTGTAAAATAAAGGATAAAATTTTAAATTTGTTTCACTAAAAAATTTGTTTCACTTTTAAAGCTCCAGCCTTCTCTCCAACGACGTAAGCTTGCACTTTATGTAGGATGGAACAATAATTGGCTCATCTTACATCATGTCACTACTAATAACAGAGTCATGACCTTCATCCAAGAAATATTTGGGATGATGATTTCGTTTTTTATGGACGATGGTGTTTTCTGGTAAACCGGCATTATGGAAGTCACTCTTTGAGGTTACACTGCTAACAAGGCCTTCAATTGTGCTCTGGGGATGAGTTTGTGAACTTGAACCAGAGCATAGTTCGAGTCCTTGTACCGTAAACCCACATTAAACGTTATCTCTAACGGTTGAAGTAGCATTCTACAATGTATAGTACTGCAACCAGGGCATTAAAAGCACAACATAGATAAAAAAGCACATGCCAGATCTTAAACCTGCAACCTTCTAATGTCTCCAAGCTAACACTTATTGTTTCATTGAAACTTAAACTTATTGTTTCAAACTAACTGTTTCAATGACTTGGCAGGGCAACGTGTCATAGGAAGTTTTGTTGCAGTGGCGTAACTTAGGGCCCCGCAGACCCCGCTGTGCGGGGGGGCGCCGTATAAGGGGGGCGCAATTTTCCTGAATTTTAGGCCCTTTCACTGAAAAAACGCCTTGTTTGTGTATTTCCCTGTCCAATTTAGCGTTCGGCCGACGCGAAAAAAATATTTGGGGTACCCTTTTTTGCTTCAGGGGGGCGCAAAAACCTTAGGGGGGGGCGATAAAAAAAGTACCCCGACCTTTTTTTTTTTTTAGGGACACAAAAAATTTTAGGGGGGCGCTTTTTGTCACTGAGCGGGGGCGCCAACAAGCAAAGTTACGCCACTGTTTTGTTGATGATAGTTAGTCATCAGTAGTCAATGACTAGACAGGGTTATTGAAAATTACAAAGAGTAAAGTGGCAACTGGACTTGGGACCAGCTCATAGTACATTTCATTAATGCCCTCTGAAAAGCCCTCTGCTAGCTAAAAAATGATATTGTTAGGTAAAACGTACTGAAAATTAAAATTAAGATTAAAAATTGAAAACGAACTGAACTAACAAAAAGAATGACACGTCATGCTAAAATACATATTCCGAAGTAATATGTTAAAATACTTGTCGACAAAGATTTCAAACCGTTTGCGCAAGGCAGCAATATTGAAACTTTGTCGTGCAAGTTTACGAACTAAATTTTTACAATGCAAAATAAAACTGTTAAAAGAACTATTAATACGAGCTAAACGAACTAACTGACTATTAAATATACCATAAGACTGGCCTTTGGGAATATTCCCATCTAAAAAGGGATAATTAATGACATCAAAATTATAATCGTTCCTCTTGTCATAAAGTTTAACAACAAATTTTCCTCTATAAATACTGATAGTAAGATCTAAAAAGTGTGTCGTAATTGTCAGGTATTCCAATTCACTGACATTTTCACAAGAAGCAGTGGCTAAGAACTTACATCCTATATGTCTGGGTGTATCTACTGTATCTCTGGTGACTAATGGTGTCTTATGATAATACTCTGTATAATGTTGCGCAATAGGTTCTGTTTACATTAACTTTGTGCACATTTTCTTCCCAGTGACATAAAGTGAGGAATCTAAGAATCTAATTCCTAGCCATATTAATTTCCATAGCCACGCCGACTAATTTTTGTCAACAAAATTATTAAATCAACTTTAAAATAGTCGCTCTCGGTTGTTACACACTGTAACGCCGCGCACTGTACTTTAATTCTATATTTATCTGAGAAGATGTTCGAATCGAGCGCAAATGCCAGATTCCTGTCAGGATCCTAGTTCTTGCGCTTAACTTGCGCGTTACCAAATAATCCAAGATATTTCTGTCAGGATCCAAGATTTTCCTACTACCAGTATGGTAGTATGGACTGTTTGGTAGTATGGTAGTATGGTAGTTGCAGGAACGCGCGAAGAGCTATATGTAAATATTACTAAAGCGTACATGGAATCGTATCCTAGTCGGTTAATCCGTCGGTACTATATTAGCAGATCGCGAGTTCGAGACCCGGAAAGGAATTTTTTCACAATCTTTTGGCAATTATGAATAACTATACTAATGAATTAATAACTATACTAATGAATAACTAAACCTCTGTAATATAACTAGCAAAGTAAAATGAAATCGTTATCCGGCCGCGGAGCGGCCGAAAAATTTATGGTAGTCGTTTTAAAAATATATGGTAGCCGTTTTTTCTTTCCAGACTGGATTCCTAGTCCCTTTTTAAATTTATGTCACTGGGATTTTCTTTCTCATATACTGACTGACCTGCTTCTTAACAAAAATTGTACTTATTGAAGGTGTTGATTATTTGGAGAATAAGAGTAAGCATAGTCATGATGATTATTCAGCAAAGAAGAAGTTCATTAATTTGAACTAGGTTGTTTTATTTGGGTCTAAATCATTAAAATTTTATAATTAAAATTATTAAGATATTTTGATGCATATTTGTAATGCTCTTATGTATCATGATGTTTTGATCTGATTTCATTTTTTGATTTGATTTAAGACGTCAAGTTTCTGCACAATTGTAAATTGCCTTCTTTCCCTGGATCATTGATCATATAAAATCATGAAGATAAATAATCAGACACTTTAAAATTTATGATCATTAATCACCTTGTTAATTATAAACCCCTCATGTATTACAAATGTGAATATTTTCCATGATGGCATCAAGTTTCTGTCCAGCAATGATTGATCCATTTAATACAATCAAATTACATTTATAGGAGTATTTTATGTGAATCAGACATTCCAATTATATCAACATTTAATGGAGAAGAAATGAGAAGCAGTTATAATATTGGTCTGGTGAAATGAGGAGTGAGCCGCTCCATAGCTTCACAGAACATGGGTGGCAAGTTTCAAGTGCTCAGTTCAGTGACTGTTCTACTTACCTTGCAACAGGTACATTTACCTGAATTAACTTCTTCATATTAACTAATTTTACTACGTGCTGTAACTTAACAGTCTTACAAGTTAAATTAAATTTTAACGATTCTTTGTATTCAGTAATAAAAATTGGTGACCCTTTTCAGGAGGTTGGGACAAAAGCGCAGTGGTATACAACGTTTTAGATTTGAAACCATTATTCAGATTATCCGTGGCACACACCTTGCCTATAACTTGTGTGCGATGGCTTGACAGAGACCTTGTGACTTGTTCTGCTGACAGATCTGCTGCATTGTGGGATACCAGCAATGGTCAAAGAGCGACCTTGTTCAGTGGTAAGAAACAACTTTGGCCCATTTCTCATTTTTCTTCAATAAATAGTTTGTGTCATTACCTATTTACAAATTTTAGACCTGTTCATTAGTTAAATTTTATGTAATACGTATATGATTTCTTTGTTGGAGTTACTTTGAATCATTAAGCGCTTTTAAAGTGTAACAAAAATATTGATTGCAAATTCATTCAATACTGGTAAGGATTTTCCGATCATTGTAGGATGATCAATAGCCCCAGATACGAAATTTGACACTAACCCTACCCAGTCGAGCCGTCTGTTTTTACCAAACATCAGTCACGCCTGATAAAGTGGCTGAGAAAACCAGCCCTGCTTAATTCAGTTGGATATATATAATTCGAGACCTAGTGCCTTGCTAATGGAGCAGACACTAACTGTGGGGGAGAATCATGAACCCTATCATTAGTCAGGTCTAACCTTGTAATTGAAGATAGAAATATAAGGGATTCTCAAATTCCGAGTACATTCATGACATCACCAGTCGCACTGGCTCTACCCTGTCTATCGAACTCATTACCTGATTAACTCCTCTTTGTGTAGAACGGACAGCATTGGGATTTGGGAAACATTATATTGAGATATACACTAACTGTGCCGCTGTTAGCTGTAATCTTTACATCTAAGTAAAGATATAAGGCTGATGTAAAAATTACGACTATTAAATGCGCTTAACTTTTATATCAAGAAGATTAAATTATATCTTATCGTTTTCTAGCTTTTAAAAATGAAATTGGTTAAAGTTGTGGTAAAAACTTAGCCAGCTTTATTGGGATGAGATAATCTGATAAATATATTGTCTCTAGATAATGGTTTCTACTCATGGGTAGAAAAAACCATAACCTTAACCTTATTACCTGCACAAGAGCAATCCTAACTGCACATCCACATTTTTTTGTGAACAGACTAATATGAATCCTATCTGCACAAAGTTTCATGTTGTCTGCACACTAAACTTTTCTCAAGGCACGTTTCTAACTGGCGTGTGTTTACAGGTCACACAGGATGGGTGATGTCATGTGATACAACAGACAACAATATCACAACCACAAGTTGGGACGGAACTTTAGGACTTTGGGATGCCACCAGATCCTCACCTGTTAACCTTATGTCAGGTAACAATTGTAAAGACTTTCATTTTGTTTTGCTATTATCTTACTGATTTTAAATGTTTCACAAAAATCATTCGTTGAAACTAGAATTCAGTACAACAACTTTCACAGCCTCAAATCATACTGGTAAATCTCCACGGTCCACACACTCTCTCTCTCTCTCTCTCTCTCTCTCTCTCTCTCTCTCTCTCTCCCCCTCTCTCTCTCTCTCTCTATCTCTCTCTCTCTCTCTCTCTCTCTGTCTCTGTCTCTGTCTCTCTCTCTCTCTCTCTCTCTCTCTCTCTCTCTCTCTCTCTCTCTCTCTCCCTGCCTCGTTACACTTCATCTGCTCAACTCATTACCTCTACATTCTGATTAAACCAGGGAATATACACATTTCACAAACATTAGCTATTGGTGGAACTCATTACATATTATACGTCCAATAAACAACTGTAGATTGGCACACAGCCGATTGAAACCTAAATGGTTAGCCGATTATTCCCAGTATGGTAAATGTGGCAGTGCAATGTTCATCTTTATTCTTCTCCTTTGACAGATTCCTGTGCGATATTACTTCCATGGCACTGCTTGGAGAGTGATTTGAGCTAAAAATAGTTCAAGTAGTTAAATGGGGAATAGTCGTTTATTTCGGGGTCAAACTTTGATCCCAAATTTGGATAATTTTAGCGGACAATCATGATCGCGCTATCTGTAATCTGGGGCACAAATTGTTCTTTCTAAAATTGGTCATACTTTAACTAACTCTGATAGGTAAAATAAAGTAGTTAGCGTTGAACACCTTTAAATTCTTTGAAAATATACAAATTCCAAAGATTGTGTCAAATGTCCGTTCTCACTGGTCACCTTACAAAACCATTACATGCCTGTACAGTGTACAAGGTTAAAATTATTGTTCTACAAGGTTCACAGCCGTGTGAAATGTCTCATATAACTTTAATTTCAGGACACGTAGCAGGAGTGTGGGACTGTGCGACTCTTAAATCATCTCAAGTCATTGCCAGCGCTAGCGAAGATTGTACACTGAGGTTGGTATGGTTGCAAAACCGATTCTCTCATTCCACAATCTATATTAGAGTGTTGTCCTGATACTTGAATCCCTAGGATATTAACAAAATCTCACAAAGTCTCTGATTTGTCCAGGAAATGTTAATTTTAGTCTCTCCCCAGATTATGGGATAGGAGGACAGCCAGCAGTTTCTCGACCCTAGCAGGAGGCCACGACGACTCTGTGCTGAGTGTGTGTTGGCCGGCAGACAGGGAGTTTGTACTTGCATCTGGATCTACTGACTGCAGTGTGAGTCTCTTCTTATTTGTTAGTCATAGTGTTCTCTAGCCCTCGTTCTGTGGTTGTTGAAAAGGTTCCTCGATGCAGACTGTTTGGCTGAGCCCTGGATCAGTTAACATAATGTAGCAAATCTGATAAGCAGGGCCGGGCTGAGTGAAAACCACTGTGTTGTCAAAATGAAACACTTTGTTGGCAAAAAGAAGCACCGTCTGCGAAACTTGACCATGTGGTGGTATGTAGCTTGCACGATTTGTATTATGGTGGGGTCCGAGTGTGGTTAACAGATAGGTTTATGTAGATTAAGGTGTGTAGGGTTTGTCAAAACAAGCATATCGTGACCTCATTCGGTGGGCGTTTTAGTTTGGAGTCACCTTTGACCTTATCATAATATCAACAAACATAATGTTATAATCAGAACTCAGAAGTGTCTACAGATTTCTGTTTCTAAATCAAAACTTTAAAAAGGAGATCTCAAAAATCAGAAAAATCCGATTCCTGCTGAATCCCAAACAGATAAAGGTTATCGTTAACAGTCTAGTTGTAGCTTGTCTAGATTACTGTAACGGTCTATACTTTGGTATTGGTGTGAAGCTTCTGTATCAACTCCAGTTACTACAAAATGCTGGTGCAACAGCTGTTCCTGGTAAATATAAACCATCTTGATGACGACTTGTTAAATCTTCACTGGCTTGATGTAAAGAAAAAAAATGTTTTCTTTATTGCTGTCTCACAAGGCATTGCTAGGATTGGCACCAACTTATCTGCAGGACATATTTAGGTACTCACATCATGGTCACATGTATTGAAACTAATTGTACAATCTTTTAACTCTAAGTTAGGTGAGCGTGGTTGGAGGTGGCTCCGAAGATCTACAATCGGCTGCATGATACCATTTCATCGGCTCAATCACTGGAATCATTTAAAGCTCTTCTAAAAACTTTTCTGTTTAAACTGCCCCTTCATGAGCTTGAAAAACTTTATCGATAATTTATTTTCGTCAATATTTACATATAAGTACTATCATTTTCTGTCATTAGACTTAGCGATATATTTTCAAGCATACGTTGCCAGTCCTTACCTTATTCAAGTTCTTTTCTGGGATGTTTAGATTAAACACTGCTGAGTATAAGTTTTATCTTAAAAGTGGTGTTATTAAACTTCAATTTATTATTATTATTAAAAATTATAATGATTGCTCACATTAATAATGCTAATATCTATTTATATATCTCAACAATATGTGTTGAACAGTGACTTAATGTCTGATGACAGTAAAGTAATGCTCCAGACACACTCTCACATCATGATCGTGAGTTGCCCCCCAGGATGAAGGTGTAGAACACTCCAGAACACGTGATGCCCATATAAGGGTGTAAAGTCCGTCATGTCTGGCCGGTGTGCTACATTCTACATGCACATAAGGTCACAAGGCAGGCCAGTTCCCTGCTCCTTACAGTGGCAATGTATTAACTCTAACTTAACCCGAGCAGCTCTCCGGTTTTTTAATAACTGTTAAAGTATATTCAGTGTTCAGCGAGTTGTGATGATGTGGCGCTTGTTTTAAAGTTCGGGTAAAAACGTTTTCTAAAACTCTGGAATATGGTAATCCGGTAACTAGGCGATGTTAGCTACTACGGTAGAATATCCTTCAGCCCCATACTCCTTCAGTTTATCATGTTTTAGTATGGTTGTTTAATATACTGCTGGGTAAATATAATTTATAAATTATCACGACTGTATTCTTAATTTTAATCTTAAAGCTCTGTGCTGAACATTTAAAGTGTGGATTAAATATTATGTCGTCATGATTACATCGATAAGAGAAGTTTACATTCAAATTTGATAGACTGTAAAGCTAAACCGATGATTTAACATTGAACAATACGCTTTGTGAATCTTATTCGCAGACTACATAGCTCTAAAAATACCTTCATACGAAATGAAATCCAGCCATTCGCCAATAAAGGGAAAGATTGATGTAATCAATGATCATGTGTTATTAATAATGATGACTTCCTTGCCTCTAGCTGCGCTCAAAAGACATAGTTTTGACATTGCGTGCTAATTTCCGCACCGCTTAATTACTACAGCAATGTAGCTTTACGACTGTTTGCTCATAATTCTAAACATATATTATTTATATTCAATGATTGTGTTGCATCTAAACCATTACATTCACATAATTACAGACATCAACACGAAGCTGTTTAGACAGAGCATTTGTTTGGTTTTAAAAATTTCAATGGCTCAACAACCTTACTACTTAATAGTTAATGTTGTCGAATTAATTGGCTTTGGGCCACCAGGGCACTGGGCACGACGGCACGTGTCTGTGAACAAACCAATTTCAAATATCCTGTTGCACGTTAACCTGGTGATAGTAGAAGCTGGATTGTCATACGGGCGCATACAGTAGGAAATTTGATCAGAAGGATATTTCATGAGCTAAGAGAAAGGTTGGTGGGTCACGTGATAAGGTTGTGTGCCACGAGATCCTGGTTTTCAGCTGTAAGTGGTCGCATTCTCAGCTCTGACGTCTCATCTTTTAGCACTTTAAGAGTATCGTGACAAGACGTGCGACGTAAGATCAGTCAATCGCATTTATGATTATAGCGCTGATGAATGAACCTTTCAAGCCCTGGGCTAAATGTTGCGCAATTTAACAGGTACCGTAAGTGTAGACCTCTAGATAGAGCTATAATTACCTCTCAAAGGAGCAGTTCGTGTAATGGCTCGTGTTATAGCACGTGGGCGCTAGAAATACTGAGCTGTCAGAGAAGCAGCCAATAATGGTTTGTCAAAAGTAAAACTTGCCTTTCAGTACCTTCCTACTTGCCAATTTGTAATAGGCTATTCCCGAAATGTTAACTTTCTGGGATGTTCGCTGACGTAAATGTGAAACCAAATACTGAATCTCTCTGAGTGAAAGGCACCATGTACTGCATTCAGGAGCTGTTATCCCTATCAATTTTCTATTCTGGCGATAAGATTTTCTTCTGATGGTATGTACAGGAGAAAGATTTTACTGTGAGAATTTAATTTGGATCCTGTACTGTACTGATAAATGTTGCAGAGTATCTAGATATCTGATACTATTAGTATACAGCACACTCGACCAACCAGCACACATTTAAATGATGCTCAGTAATTTATACGCACCTCCGCCTCCCACAATGCCCAATGGTTAGACACAATAGACCCTTGGCGAACAATTGAGGTCTGAGGACGAGAACAAAAGAAACCGATAAGAGTTGAGGTTTAGAGTCTCTATAATTGTTGTAAAACGGCCAAGGTAAATAAATGTGGAAACTATCGGCCACATGTATAATATTTTGGGTATAGTGCGTTATAGATTGTACCCATGGAGATACTGTTAATTGATAGTGGGTTATATGAGGTCCAGGGCCTCAAGAATTAGACTATTGTGGTCCTTACTTCTTACCACGTGGTTAGAGGTAACATTGTTATGATCATTGCTGACCCGAGGCCCGGGAAGGATACAGATTCTTCCTAATTAGGAAGGTAATTAGGATAATTATATCGAGTGTTGCTCCTAGTTACCTAATTATAACGAGTGTTGCTCACACTGAGGCTGGTTACCCTCTACTCCTCTACACTCACCCTGTAGCCAGCTGAGACCTGGCTCATGTTCCTAATCTGTTCAAATCTCTTGTCATGTTATTACATTTTTAGAATTGAGCCGTGAACTAACGTTTATTAAGGTGTTAGATACTTTATTCCCATTTTGGGATATTTCTTTTCACGTAAATAATTATATTTCTGGAGGTGTAATCTAACCATTTTGAGACATGTGAAGTTGATAAAGCTTTGAATTTGAGGAATATTATTAGATTTATACACAAATGTTGAATAATGAAGCTAGTGTTTTGAGGTCACCTGTCATTTGATATCACTGATTACAACAACAAATGAGTTTGACATCTGTTCAAATTGACTGCAACTCAGCAACATCGGCCCATACCTCTGTGCATTTTAAAGAGAAAAGAATCATAATATATGTACGAGGTTTTACATGACCGTTTCGCAAGTGAATGTTTTAAACTTTAAACACCGTTACATAATATTTAATCTGAGGACACCCATACCACCACCTGATATGTTGAGAAAAGCTACAAGCACAGTGTCAGCTGTTTCACTGTGTCACATGACAGCAGATTAGTTGGCTATTTTCCAAGACAGTTCTTAACGCTGTAATATCCGGGGACGCGCTCAGCCAAAGGAGCTGACTTATTAACTAATACCAGCTCCCACCAGTAGCGGGTCTAGCTGGCTTGTCTAATATCTGCCGAGGTAGCTGACTGGAGGTAGCTGTAATATGGCTGATTAGATTGTTTGGCAGGCTACATTACAACAGTTGAAATAAGTAAGATCAGGTGACCACCATGACGTGTGGTACACACAGTCTGTGAACACAATACACACAGTGTATAGAGTAAACAAACCGCACACTCCTGTCCAGTGCTCACGCCGGATGTTCACATGGTCTGCAGAGTGCAGGGTCACGTGACGTGTGTGTGTGTGTGTGTGTGGTCCTTTGACAGCATGCTGCTTACTACTTCGCCCTGTCAAATACTTCCTACCAAACAAAAACCTATACTTATATTCCAGCTACTTTTGTAGAGCTCTGGGTACTCACATGATGGGTTGGTTATTTGGGTGCACTTCTTCTGAGCGTAGTATAAATTCTAAAGAAGCAAGTTTTTTCGTATGGAAGTTTCCTTAGAATCATGTTTTGACTGGTTTTCATAAGTTGGGGCCAGGTTTCAAGATCTGGAATTATCTGGTTTTGGATTGATGAAAGATAAGGATAAGTTAATCCCAGTCCCCAGATATGGGACACTACAAAGCTAAAGGTGACGTGAAGTCATAAATTGTATTTTTAATTATTGTCTGGCCCTGTGAACCCTCCTATCACCCTACTATCACCCTACTAGACCCTGAATACCCTGTTTCACACGTTATCACCTCCCTGGTTCACCACTTGTCAGATTTAGCACCTCCATTGTGTGTACCGTGTGAGCTGTATCATGGAGCTCCGTCACTCAGCTACGAGAGATTATTGTTTTAATTAGTCTGTGGTTCATGAGGCTGAGGGAGATTAAAGTGTTTGAGTGCACCGTTAGGATAATTATAAAGGGACCACCAGTTTTCTAATTTAATACGATAATATGTTAAATGTATCTACTATATAATATGGGTACCATGATCTAGATGTGTGTAAGCTGAAGTGGAAGATTGTTGTTAAGTTTGTAGTGTGTCTGGAAGAGCCGGACAGAGAGAGTTGTAACTGCCCCAGTCCCCCGCTCACTAGCCCCAGCTAATATGAAGTCTAGACAGTGTCCTGTACACTTTTACCACACAGTCCTGTACCCTCTATAATGTTACTGTGTACCCTCCTCCTTCCCACACAGCCTCCCCTCCTGTCATCCTTGGCACTGGATACAGTCCAACTACCTCCACCCCAGATACCTCCTCCATCCTTATTGCCTGCTGCTTACTTTCTGTAACCTACCAGGAACCAGCTGAGTCCCGGAGTTGACTGTATCCTCAGTGTACTGTATCCTCAGGATATTTGTACAATATAGTGGTGACCCCGACTAGCTAAAGTACTCCTGTAATTACAACAAACCACACTGTATCACGGGACTCATTAATGCTATTAATTCGAGTTCCGGAGTCGTCGCAAACCCTCGGGGCTCCTGCTCTACAGTTTCTCTCTTATTTGATGGACCACATTAATCATGCTATTGAAATAAAGTTCATTATTATTCTGCCAGATGACTCCGTGACCACAGTTCCGTTAAATTTCCTGTGTCCCAGCTACAGTAGCGTTACACTTACAGTTTTCATGGTAGACTGAAATCCTCTAATCAGATTGATCTCCTAACCGGTTACTTCAGAGATTGCGTGAACATGGTTTTTAGCGTGTGGTTGGTATTGCGGGTTGCACCAAATACTCACAATGATTATGAGTCATCTGAAACCTCACAACTGAGTATCATAACACAAACCGGCTTCAGAGCTACGTCTTGCCACATGAAAAATAGTCTCCTCGAGTGTCTGTTCTACAAGACGTGTAACAGACACATTATACTACATAATTACTCGCCTCTAAACTCTCTAAACTCTATTCTATCGAACAAACTTTCGAAAAGTATCATGGCCTGTAACTCCCACCGTTTACTATACACTCACCACTAGGTTTAGAATATCTTACATTCTCTTCAAACACTGTTTCATCTCTTTGTTATGCGCACTCAAGCGAGAGATTACTGCTAATTACTTCTTTTCACTAATTATCCAGTTGTCTATTGATGTTATTATGAGTTTTATTGTTTTCAGATCATACTGTGGGACACGAGGACGTGTAAAGCGCTGACAAAAGTAGAGTCTCACACGGACAGCGTGAAGGAGCTGGTACCCCTACCCCACCAACCTGGCATCATGGCCAGCATCGGAGATAACTCACTCAAGGTCAGTACAATCTGTTACCTCTATTTAAAAGCATCAGTTATTTTTACTGTTATACCTTGATTTAAAAAATCATATCTGTGTGGAGATTCTTACTCCTAAGAGCGGACTTCATAGCCTGTCCAGTTCCCAGTACTAGAAGTGAATGACTTGACCTAGGAGACAATTAGTTCAGGTTAAGGAGTGGCGATAAGTGTTAATTTGTGGTCAAATTAGACCTTAATTTCAAAGTTGACAGGCTTGAAACTTGCAAATTATTCAACAATTTTGCTAAATTAAAGTACAGTGGAACCTCTATATACCGGGCCTCTTGGGGAAATGAAAAGTGAACGGTAAAGAGAGAAAACGGGCATAGAAAGGTTCACATGATCCTAATCAGACCCAACCCATAGTATCTCTCAAATAGCTCGCCAAACGTCTTATATACACATGTACTCATTTATTCCCAATGGTATCAGGAATATCTATTTTTAAATGTTTCGAGTTTGACCGAAAATTGATGAAAATGATGCCCATGTTTCCAATTTATTCCTCAACTTTTGGTGAAATGGGCATCGCTGGGGTAGCCAATGGCCCCCCTCCCCAGATTTAAACAGTTTTCAACATGGGGGACAGTGAGATCAAGCTAAATCAGAGTGTGGAAACCTGTAGTTAAATATTATGTCCTTTTGTCGACCTAACGAGTTTTGTAAGGTGGTGAGATGAAGTGTTGTTTTAGGATTGGAGAGGTGGTGATAGTTGTGTAAATACTGTGTGTCATGGTTCAACAGTTGAAGAGTTGAAGGAAGTTATTTGACTTGCAAACGGTTGCAAATGACCAAGTCTCTGTTTGAATCCGGAAAATTTTAGAAAGCTTTCACGCGACAACTTCCAGATACATATTTCTGTGTCTAATTGTTAAAGTTTAGAGACTGTCGTCGTTCGTCAAAGAAAAGTCAGAAGTAATGTCGACGTTTTGGTGGATTAGTGCGGTTTTGAGTGAATGTTGAGAGCAGCTGTCATCACCCACTGCCCTGAGAACTGTTCCGAAAATGAGATGCCTGACTCCTATCTACCTTGCCGGAAATATCCCGTAACAAATTATACTATAACGTGATAACGTCCCTGATAAACTAATTACCGGACAATGATATTCACAAGTTAATGAAAGTTCTGAGTAATTACAAGACGCTAAATCGATTTGCGGAGAATTATGCCATCTAACATCATTGGTCCACAAGGTAGGGCGCACCCCTGAAATTTCACTTCTCTAAACGTACAATCGTGAGACGTGCATGCCAGTGAAGTGCTTTAAATGTACTTTTACAGTTTACTACATGCCTGTGAGTGACGGGGACTCGGTTATATATAATGGTTATTATCACGATGCTTATTATTATTACAAAATATTGCTACTTGTAACTTGCACGTTGTATGTGAAGATAAGTAATCGCTCCAGAGCTCCTCTGTGACCTGCCCATCAAATAAAAACGTGTTATTCAATATAGTCAAAGCACATCCGTCTGATTATTAATCAAACATGTACGGTAACTTCTTATTTGATCTAAATTATCTATCTAAATATAACCATCATGATCACGCCACAAGTCTAACATTAATTGTTTCATTAAAAAGTTACCTCCTCCTCAGATATGGGACACCTCAGACTCCACCAACATTAAACTCCTCGGTTCCCGCGCCTTCCCCACCGACCTGGAGTGCATCGCCGTCAGTCCGGACCGACTGACCCACGTGTGTGGTGGCGTCAACGCAACCACTTACATGTCTCTTTTTGTCGGCGTGGACGACGACGCCCATTCTGACCTCTCCTCAAAGTGAGTTTCATCATGCAGAGACAATAGTTAAAAATAACCTGTGTTACTAGATGATTATTACTCACGATAAGATGATTATTGTTGATATAATTATCTATTTTTAAGAGTCTTATGTTCAGTGTTGTGTTACTTTATGATCTAAGATTTAACCTATATTATAACGACTGTTATGAGTATGACGTTAGATATTATACGCTAAGTAAGAGCTATTTCTCAGGCTCCTGATCCCTGGTCGAGAAGTAGTTTTTGTTATCGTTGTTAAACAGTTAAACGTTTTTATTACCACCGAATCTAAATAATTCATCACAATTCGCTATAGGACCTGGACGTCTATGATTATTAAATGCATGGTCTGGAATGGAGTATAATTCTAGTAGTAAATGGTCGTGAGACCGGGGATGAGACCCAAGTGTTGGGTCCCAGGACGACCAGAGCGGCCCGGCACCGCCACTAGACTCACCAGCTCAATGGTATCGTGTAAATTAAATCTGAATCTCCATTAAATGTGAGACTATTGGTCACCACTGATAGGATTATCTTGGTATTCTCGATTGGTTGCAGCCCTTCGTAATTATTCCTTATTTTGAAGTCAAAACGAACACACCCTTAACGTGTCCCGTAATAATTAATGGGGCTGTATGAGCTTAATGTGAAGTTAATGTGAAGTCAAGATATTGTGTTCAGTATTTTATTTAAACCAACGTAATGAGTCTCAGTCTCAGTCTCGCCATTAAAAGGAATATTCTGTTTTGACAGTTAGAACCAGTTGTAGGGTTTAAATTGAATCTATCATTTAGTGCATTCCTGATAAATTGGATGAAGCACATATTTGGCAAAGAGCAATTAAACACACTAACTCTAGGAGGCTTATAGTACAGACTTTCTTAAATATCTATTTAATGGAGTGAAGCCGTGATGTCGGCAGATAAATGAGCAGACATTACTTTTAGGGTTAGATCACTAGCAGAAACACCGGTGCTGTGGATTAGTGTATTTACTTCTGACAAACTAAGTAAACAACAATATTGTACTTCATCAACACACGTGACAAATTGAGGAAAAAACGCAACTTTCACCATGTCACAGACATTTACTGTTTGTTTACTTTTACAAACACACATAGGGTATCATGTAAAAAGCTAAAATCACAATTATTTCAGGTACAAAGCAACTATAAATCGAATCAACGAAGAAGAATCCAACAAGATAGTCGGCTTCTCTCGACCCTCCCACCCCACCAAACACTCAGACCTCCCCTCTCAGTACATACCACGTGATCAGGGTAGCCCGTCACGTGTCACGACGCATAGTGTGACGTCACCAAGTAGCGTGTCGTCATCATCACACGTTGCCATGACGTCGTCAGGTGATGGGGAGCTGTGCTCGGTAACTTCACCAGTCAGCGTGTCGCCAGTCAGTGTGGAGGGTTGTAAACGAGAGAGCAGTTGCTCAGACAGCGGGGTCGATGTGACTAGTTTGTCTACTTGTTAACTATTTGGGAACAGCTTTTTTTCAAGATTTTTCGTCCGATTTGATAATCATAATCAGTTGACTGATGATAGTTGATGTACGCGAACTTTTTACGATAAGACGGATTTTTTTTCTTGAACGATTGACTGACATTCCCATAAACTCTTTGTACATCTTCCATTTGTTACCAGATGGATGATTTTGAATTTTTTATGATTTTGAAAGATTTAACACTTTAAAATAGGCATTATTTGGTTGTTATATTAATGATTTGTTTAACAAATAAAGACATTTGTATTGCATATTATCAGATGTTTGGGCACTTTGTCTACTGAAATTGCTAGATTTTTGATTGGTTTGCAAAAAAACGTACATGATTATTGATCACAAAAAATGTCAAAACAGTGTTAGGGGTCGTTCACATATTACGTAATCATTTTTTGGAACATTTTAACCCCCCCCCCCCCCTCTGTAATCAGTTTTACACGTAGCTATTGTGTCAAAACTTCACTAGCGTAATCATTTGGACCCCCCCCCTGGCCCAGCTGATTACGTAATATGTGAACGACTCCTTATTTGCTTTAATTTGTGAGTCAGAGGCAGCAATCTGTCAGAAGATTTGATTTTATTTTAAAACGATTGCCCTTTTCTAATTTAACCCTGAGTTTCCAATGTTTTGATCATTACTTGATTTCGAAATTTAATCTTAGAATATTTTTACACAAAAGTACAGGGTAGTTCATTTTGCGAAAATTCCTGTTTTTGTGGTACAGAGATAAAAGTATGGTAGAACAAGTTTCATTTACCATATTAAGTTAAAACAGTGAGGTGGCTTAAAGTTTTCACAATTCAATTGTTTCCTTTGTGTACAAAGTAAAGTGTATTCATTTCAAATTATTATGTTTACTACAATTGAAACGGACATTTTATTTGTTTTTTTAAGAGAGATGAAATATAATATAACCAGCCCTTATTCTTTCCTTAATCAAGAAATCCATTTGATTCTTGGAGTATAGAGGAATGGAAACCATATTCATTTCACTGAAACGTTTTGAGCTTGATTAATGGTGTTGAGGGCTTTCTAATTTATAACAAAAACTTGCAATCTTGCTCTAAGAAAATTTGTACAGAACTGTTTGGAATTATTCAATATGAAATAACCGCCGAAATTTCTGATCACCTTGTAGATGACGAAAGCTAGAACATTCATCAGACACAGAGACAGGGAATACCAATTTTAAATTTTCAAAACGCGAGAATGTTCCCGGTTCCACTTTCCAGCCTTAAATTGACTCCGGGGACTGGTAGACTATACAAAAGGTTTTAAAATGGTTCATCCTGCTGTCATGGGAGATGTGGTGTCGAAACACCACTACCGTTCCGGAACCCACTGCAAATCAAATTCATCTGTGAATTTAAAACTCCCGGTTTCACACATAAACGTCAGGCGCATAGACAATATTGTGATAAGCCAAGCGACGTATCGCTGTTTGGCGCACATGTTTTTGTTATATTTGAGCCGCGCATGCCTCACCCCACGTGCGATGAACTTTTCCTTTCATTCCTATACCCGTCGTTTCAGTTTTGTTGCTATCTATCGGGCAGACCACGTGTCATAAACCTTGACCGTCTGCGAATCTGTAAAGGTAGTTCATTGGTCCCAAGAATAAATACTTCAGATCGATTACTCCAATAGCAGTATCATTTTAAAATATGGTTTTACAGATAATAGTCGGTTTTGGACGTAAAATTTCGATCATTTACTCAGTAAGATATGCGTTGCATTTTTATGGTTGACAGTATCGTTTTTAAACAGCTATTTCCCCATCATTTAGACCTTTTATGAACTTAGCAAATATTTCATCGTAATCAGCCCGTCTGCTCTGACTTCCATCATCCTTGGTTTCCGCCATGTTTTTAGTTATCCTGTCCATGCCTCGTTTCAATCCAGCCTTCCCAGTACCGGAGGAGTTTTTGGTGAAGAACTGGGTAACATCCTCATATTGTTGTCGTGTTTCGAGACCACTGGTAACACACATTAACAAGGAGTCAAACGAGAACTGAGATTCTCCGTACATCTCAAAATAGTAGCTGTAGTTTTTCTTAAACCATCTCCAAGTTAGCCCTGGGTTCCGCGAGGCTACGTAGCAGATTGTTCTCTTCTTCAGGGCCCGTGGCATTATCTGCGATCTTTTACTGTAATTCAGGATGTACAGCTGTTGTTTCGGGTTGCGTGTCTGGCAAACGTAAGCTAGAATTATCTCGTACTCTTTGATTGATCGTGGGTACCAGGTGAGTAATTTGAAAATCTTACCCCAGCTCTTTTTAACCCTTCTGTAGAACCTCAAACAAAATGCTAGGTAAACAATATTTACATGTTCCCCTTTCAAAAATTGTCTAATGACACGCCTAGAACGAGCTCTTGCGGTGCGATCTCCCCATCTAACTCCAAAGTAAAACATCCATTTGTAAAACTTCTTTAAGTTCCAGGACGTGGTATCCTCGATTTCCCTTTTCATCGCTGATCTCACGTGACCTATGAGCACATGTTTGAAGTATCGTTCAAATAGGAACCGGTTTTCTGCTGTATAAAGCTTGGTTTTAAAGTGCAGTAGCTTGATAACCCACCGCTCTATAATGTTTCCTTGTGTTTCATGCAGGACGTAGCGGGAGGTGTCCAAGAAAATATCTGCGCTGACTCTGCCATTGTCATAGTTTTCAAGTAGATTGATCGTGTAGACTGAAATATTGATAAATTAATAAACGTAACAATAGCACTATAATTAGATTACGACATTTTTGAAGGAAAGCAACAAGCTGATTGTTGCCGATTTACGATTGTCACAGCTTCATGCTGCTATAACTCTTAATCAATTTCAAGCGGTAATAAAGCGTGGAATACTTATGCCCTAAAGGCAAAAGTACTAACAATACGATTATATTCCTTCGAAATTGCAAAGCTTATTTTCATCTGTCACTAAAACAATTCATTAGCCACGCCCCCAGGTTCGCAGTCACCAAGTAAACTATTTCAGTCAATTTCTTAATCGAGTTAACCCAAGTTTCTTGCAAATCCTTGAGCTGATCATTGTGCGCCTGTTATAAATAGTTGATACTGGATAGAACCCATGTAAATATAACACAATCATTATAGCAGCTACATACTTATTCAAGATTCATATTCTCACTTGTTCGTTGCATGTCAGATAGGACTTTATGATTTCCTCTCAATTCCTTGGCCAGTGTTTTCATGTTCTTATTATCGTAGAGATGGATAGCAAATTCCGTGTTCAGTGTGTCGTGGAGGTACCATTTTACTGGTTTGGAAAATGTGTGATGTCCCCTCTTGGTTTCCCATAACTGTTTGGGGAAAGGACCGTTTGCATTCCTATTTGCCGACGTTAGGTATTTGTTGTGTGTCGAATTAAAAGTATAAAGACAAAAATTTGTCGCAGCGATTAGACGCTCTGTCGGGAAATTAATGTTCCCGTTTATTAGACTTTAGATTTAAAACAAGTCTGGGGAAATTGACAAAACCCCACAAAAGATACCTGGAAATTTAGCTTCACTTACTGTGTATTTTGTCGGAGGTTCGACATCCGATTTGAAATTCACCGGAATAAGCCAAACTTGATTGGTCTGGTAGTTTCCTTTGGGCGTATACCGGCTTTGTGTTAAGGAAATAGTATTGCCATTGCCCTGAAAAGTTTACCAATTTAAGCCCTGAATTTGGGTTTTATGACGCTGGTAAAGTTTAAATACTGCGGGAGAACTTAACAACTGTGAGTTAATGCAAGTGGCATGTGTAATTATTGAAATTACTCGAAGCACTATTCGATAATGCTGATGCGCAATTCAATAAGATATTGCTGAAGCCACACTTTACTTTTCGTGTGATGAGCAGTATATTTTCCTAATTTTCCGTACATAACAGTGAATAACGTTCGCTGTCGTGTCGACGTTTTCAGACCTACCTTTGTAATTTTTACCATCGGAAAACCTGGCTCGTTAAGCCAGTTTTCCATGAACTTTCTCACTGATACCTTAACCGTGATATTCTCGAAACATCCCGTGAAATCGTTAAAGTCAGCACTTTTCATATGATAAGTTCGGAAGTATTTTTGTAGACCTTTCTGGAAGTTTGCCTCTCCTATCAGCTTGAGAATGGCTGAAATTATTAATACCGATTGTTTACAAAATGTAAAATAATATTTAAGATATTATTATCAGTCTCGTGACATTTATTTAATATATATTATATATATTTATATATATTATATATATTATATGTATATATTATATACCGTTGGTATGCGAAGAATTCATCTATGAGTCATGAACATAAGTAAATCGGGTATGTTCAGTAAAACATTAGGTGAAGACTGAAGAAGGAGCGTTCCATATTAGTAATAGTAAAAAACCTCGTAGTATCCAGGAGCCCTTGGCATAGGACAAATTGTTAAACATAGCTGCAGCCCCGTAAGAGTCCTTCAACTTTTGCCTCACGGGTTTCGTGAACCGATATTTGTCGTCCCCTATCCCTGTGATTAATATCGTGATTATAAAAAGTAACACGTTATCTTCATTGTTATGTTTATTGTTAGTTAAGGTATACCGTGTCATTAAGTCTGCTCGCCTGTTTTCGCAATCTCCAAATTTATTTACTATTCAAATTTAGAGTAGTCTTTTGAGTACTTAGTAATAGTACTTTACCGTTTTGATTATTTTCATGGGGGTGTGCAGTTGATAAGGAAATTGATCAACATATTTTACTGTTACAGTACATTTACGACTCCGATTTACTGCACAGTTTTTTACTGTATAGCATCATCAATTTAACTGGAAGTGGAACTCAAATTAAATTTTAAATAGTACTAAGTACTTTTGAATGTTTCTTTCCTTTCAACACTATGAGTACTACTATTTAACAGATAATTTGGTTGAACTACTTCTAAAGACTTCCTTATTAAACTTAACCACGCCTTTGACCTTTGACGTTGAGCCAACTGGAGATTCGGAGAATCATAAAAGTTGACTATTACTGCAACATTCGACTCATAAATCACTATCCCGTCGTTTCATTTCTGATACATTGCTACTTTGGTCTATGAAATACATTAACTCCGTACACGACATTTGTTTAATGTTAGACGTTTCGTCTCAAGCGCCCTGAGAAAAGAGACACCCAAGCTTGATAACCAGACCTATTTAGTGAAACCTAGACCTACCTGCACCATAGCCCTTTCTCACAAGACCAAGTTCATGGTCTCCAGGACTCCTATCTTTTATACCCATGTGGTCTTGTGCGTACTGGGTGATAAACCTCGCGAAACCCTCCTTTAACCAGAGATCATCCCACCACTTGAGACTAACCATGTTCCCAAACCACATGTGTGAAACCTCGTGCACTACCACACTCCGGCAAAACAGCTGTGACTTGGGAGGCACTGCACTATCTGCACTGTACACACAATCGTACTGGTGGTGGGGAATTGTTATTGTTTAGTGGCAAGTAGAGGTTATGTAAAGTACTAAGCTTTAGAAGATGAAAATTTACAAAGTTGTACGGCTTATTTTTCCTTACCATAAGATGGATCATGGCGATGTTTTCCATTCCTCCAGCGTTGAAGTCGAATATTCCGATGATATCTAGTTTCCTGAACGGATAGTTTATTCCCAGATACTTCTCGAAGAAGTCCAGCGATCGTGCCGCAAGTTTCGCCGTCCGTAGGGCCTGTTTTTTAGCGTAGTTCGGCGTAAGCACTGTAACGGGCACACCACGACCTGATTTCACGCTGACCTGTTGAAATGTCCATTGTTGCTCATTGAACACATTCTTTTACAAAGTATCTTGTGTATTCTGTCATTACTCTCCTTGTGACACTACTTGAGTTCGGGCGCTAACAAACACATAACTATGTGTTCCGTTCTAATTATGTGGAAAGCCGAGGTTTCCGCAAATCACAGCTGGTCTACTACAGTGCGCTAGGAAATATTTGGATGCCGGAAGAGGCAAGTGAAACTTTCCAGACAATTCATAATTCTGGCAGCGATATTACGGCGACTAAAGAGATGCTCTAAAAATACATCCGCGATATAACTATAAATTACTGTCTGATAGATTGTAAATTAGAACGTTTATTGCGAATTAAAAATCGCTGAACTTAATGATGTGCAAATACCCTGTCCATATCATGGATATTGATAGCAAGGAGGTAGACGCTCATACTCGCAGTCTCCTCGAACTCTGTTCGGACTCTTCCGGAACCTATTTGTGTCCGGGATTTGATGGGACCAGCAGAGTTAGCGTGATGTGAAGAGGGATGTTCCACTGTTAACTGAACCCTGTCAAATAGCGTGGTCAGTATTTGGCCTACCTTCGTGCAATTTTGTGAATCTAGCAAAACTCTTGTCCGTGAGAATTTGATAGAAAATATCGTAATATCTAAATCTGTCGTTCATCAGAATTTGTACTATATCTCTGAAAATGTGTCTTCAACAGTTTAAAAAAATGCTCGAATAATAAGAATTAGACCTAGTATACAGACTACCAAATGACAGCATGTAGATGCCTTGAAAGATATCTAATATAACTGTGCCACCAGCTTGTTATACCACTTAAATTCCAGAGAAGGTTGACAAATGAAAACTATAAATCGCACTTTGTGCTAAATCGTTTAAAGGATGACAGGTCACCTGACACGGAAGGATGGCTCATCAAAGCAAGGGAAAGCTTCACGAGCTTTGTCTGGCTCGAAGTGGGTGGTAACTTGGTGGTGTTTGTGTCCCTTACTGTCCACGTAGCCCGACTTTATCATTCCCTGTAGTGCTTCTAGAACTTTCCCGCTAAACCGCAGTTTTATCTTGTAGTGTCCTTATCGGGGATTTGGTTTTGTGAAAAGTGTAAACATTTGACCATCGATAAATCTTGGGTTTTATTCCAGCTCTGGACGCATAACGTTCGCTTGGAGTTGGGAGTGGGACCCATTTGCTGTTCATTTTAGGGTTGCTCACTAATATTATTATCAGTTCTGATTTTTAAGAGATACTCAAATTAAAATCTAGTATACACGCACCTGGTTCTACCGGATTTTGTGGCTTTATAAACAATATTTTCTTCTTTTTATCAGCTGTTGTTTTCGCAATCTTGCATATTTTCCCTTCATGGTCTTCCAAAACTATTGCACTTATCTGGAATTATTGCGATCAGCAAATGGAATATGAACTCTCTAAACCGGTTTGACACAATCTCGACTACGTATATATATATTAACCACCGGTCAAAGTTATGTAAACGCTCGAAATATTAATCGATTTTTGCTTCGCAGGTAATCAATATTATAACCCGTCTCCGCTAATATGCTATAACTAATATGCTATAAGCTACAAAATCAAACTGCGTTAATTTAGTTCTAACATTGAAATGTTTAGCTGATGCATAGAGCCAGATGTTGTCTCTTTTTTTCTTCACTTCAATTTGAATCTCTGTCCGGCCCTCATAACTCCACTTTTCTAAGTCGAATTTGAGGTGTAGAAACTGTTTAGAGGGTATAACATCTCTTGACAGACGAGTAGAATGCACCGAGGGCACCAGGAATAATGTGGCTAATAAGACCTGAATCTGGGAAAGTGAACATATTATAATCTACTTGATTTAAACATATATATAATATTATAATCTAATATTATAATCTAGATTTAAAGGATTAAATCATTGCTGTTAGTGTTACATCGTCAAAAATGACTATAAATAGGGGTACTCCATTTCTGAGAACAATATGAGAAATACGAAAAATAAAGCAACGTTTTTGTCAACCAGCAAGTTTTTGGGCAGGAATTTAATTAATAATTTTCAATTTTGTCTCCAATTATTGTTTACAAACCAGCTTGTATACGCTATACACAGCTCTTTATTATATTTATACGAAAATAGGTATATAATAACAAATTGTACTGAATGGTATTTTTACCATAACATGACGTCTGGAGGTGGACCAAATCTTCAACCAAAAAACTCGAGCAACACGTTCAATACGAACAACAATCCAAAAACAAATCCACCTTTAACTTTCCCAGAACATGCAACGTGTAAAGATTGGTATGTGGTACAGCTGTCACTGAAGACTTTTGTGTATACTGGTATAGGTGTTCAAATATAGTGATAGACAATCCCACAAATTGACGGAGATGTGGAAAAATTAGGCCTCCAATTTAGTCAAGAAACTCCGTGGAGCTTTATCTATAGTGCGGTACCCTAAGTATGGATTGCTCAATAAAGAAATGTCGTGAATCAAAATGTTAAGAGCCGTAAATAAACATCTTGTGTCGCATATTGAGATATTGTTTCCTAATTGTACATTGAGGTTTCGTTTATGCGGTCAAATTTTGATATTTAGAAATATATCAGAGCGACATTGACAATCTAGGTAGTTGGTATTGCAGAGGCTAACTGGTTTGAGATAGTACTGATATCGATTTCTCGTGAATTTCAACCTACAAGTACAATAATAAAACACCGATTTTCCGGCAGACTCGATGTACCAGTTGTTTCTCAGATTTCTCCTAAACTGATAATGAAAGTGTATCTAGTGTAAATCAAAACCTGTATTTACCAGGGCAATTTCCTTTCCCCTGAAAACCCTAGTAAATCGGTTTTTACTGCACTTATGAACCACTTGATGCATTAAATATATATCTTGTTAAATTGCATTATTATTTCGCGGAAAGTCATGTTAAAGCGGATATCTTGGCGTCGGTAAAATGGCAACCGATATACATACATACATATATATCTCACTTTATATATATTAAGATATGCTTTAATTGCATTATTGTTGGATACGGCCATACTCGGTTGAACACACCCTGCTTATAGGTATTAGGTATTAGGTATACTACCGATCTTATCTTTACTTAGAAATTGAATACGCCTTTTTAAAGACTGATTTGGATATATTTACAATTTAGCAACAACGATCCTAATTTCCAAGAATCATCCGAAAATCCATGTCTACATAGCATAATCAATATTCATATCTATGTTACCCTTCGGCCCTCAATATGATGGAAGATCAAGTTTAAAACATAGCTTCATCGTATCTGTTTATACCTTTACTCATTTAGTGCGGCACAATCTAAATATAATCTTTCAAATGGCTTCAGAGACCGTTCAGTTCACAATTGAGATATCGTGAGAGCATTTTCTCGGTTAGGTTGATTTAATTTGTTTGAGCGAATGTGAATTAACTGTGGTAGAAATAATCTAACACATAGATTTGAAATTTACATCTTTTAAGTTCAAATATCCGCTCATGTACCGACCACTCTAAACTCAGATAATCTTTGAATTTTGTTATCACGTTTCACTTATCTGCTCGGGCCTCAGATTAGAGTGACTTTGATTTCAACAGATTTATCTGGCATTAAATCAATTCGCTCTTCTGTGAAAAAAGAATTACAACATGGTGGCTCATTCAACTAATACGAGAACACCAGCTGTAAATACAACAACTGATGTGTGAACATATTATATGAAATTTAATGAGATTTCACGCATCTGAAGCGGTACAAGCTGAATGTGCTGACTGACATATATTTTGGTGTCAAATGCCATTCGACAGTTCATTGTTGCGTTTGTGTATCATTTTGCTTATCGAATTTCAAAACCACATTATGGTGTACATTTAAAACCGACGACTTTTCCTTCGTAATCGTTCTTTGTCTTGCTGTAAAAGTGCGATATTTGTAAATCTCCGTTATTATAATATGTGAGTACAGTTTGATAAAGAACCAATGATTTCCGGCATTCGTGTTAAAAGTAGAAACAGTTTTGCATCTTTTAAACACTTGTCAGCTTTTCAGATCATGTTTGTTAAAAGTATGTACTCTAAATTCATAATTTATAAATTAAATAAGTATCTGTAACAACAGTTAGGTTCCTATAATTGATCAATAATTTCTCAATCTGTTCCCCCTCTCTGAAGGACGGAAGTTGTCTCCAACACAGAAGAGTATTTATATACCGCTGAGGAAGAGTTATTATATAATGTGGTGGAGACTATAACTGTTAAGGATGACGAGCCAACGTCCCAGTTATACGAGGAAACGGTCATATCTCACTCTACTGCTATACAAAACGATAGGGATCTCGTTCATAGTGACTTCAGGTTTTACTTATTTTGAGCAAACGTACTTAATTATTTATTTACTTGAGTGATAAGAAATTTTCAAATGCTGTGATGTTCGCTTTCTTCAATTTAAATACTGCGTCAATCTACGGTAATTGAGCCATTTTGGCTGATATCCTGATGATAACCAGGCGGAGAGAAAGCAGCAGAAGTGCCAGCCTCCCCCCACCTAGCAGACTCTACTCTGATGTGCTGATGGTGAGAGAACAGCTGGGTGAACCCACACACGTGACACACACTCCCATGAAACGCATCTCTGTCCAGGAGAGTAACTACACTCTTCACAAGGTTTGTCTGGAGGTTGGTGCGTGCACCAGGCATCATTTTCTACTTTCAATCAAACGCTTAATGAGGCACATTCGGAAATCTCGACGACTCAATATGCAAATTTGTCCCGAAGGCTTTAGCCATTATCTTTGTGTTAGGTTATATAAATATTCCGCTACCCATAAGGCATAAACTGTATGGTACTTTTGCGATGAAAAATTGAAGCCCTAAAACTGTACCTAACATCCCATATTATTATTTACTTTGAACTTTAAGTTTTGAAGTTTCTTGAAATTATCCGGTATTTCCCGCTTAAATATTTTTGCATTCTTGCAAAGCTGAAACAAATTTTGTTTTGGCGTTTCCGTATAGTATACATACGTTTCCTTATATTAATATATATATTCAATTTTTAATCTTAATTTTAATTTTCAGTACGTTTTACCTAACAATATCATTTTTTAGCTAGCAGAATGGTTTCAGAGGGCATTAATGAAATGTACTATGAGCTGGTCCCAAGCTCATAGTACCATTTTATTCTTTGTAATTTTCAATAACCCTGTCTAGTCATTGACTACTGATACAAGAAAAGACTTAATTTACCTGGTCGATGTTTTAAAAACAGAAAGAATATAAGATCTGAACTAGCCTCCATACTGTATGACTTGAATCAGTAAAATTAATGTTGAATAAAAAGAGCTTTGCGTAGAACTTAAAGTTAACTAATACTATTAAAGTAGTATAATATGATTTACGAAGGGAATTTCAGCTGTAGTACTCCATAATTAATAGAGGCTGGCTCGAAAGATTTCTCATTTCTCATGCTTAAAGCGCATATCGATCACAACCGTAGAAACAGTTTATGAGAAATCGTATCGCGCAGATCTGGGAGAGATCCAGAATAATTTAGTCAAGTAGTGTTGATCTTAGGCCAAAATTTACTACATCTATAATACATATATCTTGACGTTTACAATTTCAGTTACAGAATGAGAACAGTTATCAAGATACACTGCTGCTAAATCAATGCTTACAAGGCGACTTTAATGAGGGCGACTCTAGTGAGGGCGACTCTAATGAGGTGAGACCGGGTGTTATCATTTTATATCGCTAAAAATATCACTGAGACTGAAAAGTGATAGCCTTACATTAGCCGATATTAGATATTAGATAATATCTATTACTGGAGTTAGGTAATATCTGTTTTAGTAAAGCTTTAACCACTTATCATTTTCACAGGGACACTCCCATAACCAGCATATCCCATTATCCCTCTTCCAACACTACTTTTGTCCTCTATTTCCAGGGAAGTGAGAGTGATGAGGAACTGGAGGATTTACCCCGGTTCAGAACCCGGCTGTCAGCGTGCGGTCCTCGAGCTAAAGAAAGTGCACGTGCCGGACGTGCCATCAGATCGGGAACTCTTAGTGGGGACGAAATTGAAATCCTGCGAAACGGTCATGAACAAGACCACGGGTACGTTAAGGGGCAAAATATTGGTATAATATTTTGGTCACCATACTAATTACGGTGTCGAAGAACTTTTAACCTGAACTCTTTTTAAGAGTTCAGCCAAAGTTTTAAACGAGAAAGTATTAATAGTAATATGATAATTTTAATACGATTTCTTTAGAAGCTTTAATTCCCAAGAGACACCAAATGATAACGCCAGCTTCATATGAAGATGTTAGGTATAGGCAAAGTTATGGCCTACACATTATCATGTTTTGAAAACCCTTCAAACTTCAAAGACAAGCGCAAACTGCCAATAAAGTCCTGAAATTTAATAATAATTTAGAAAGCTTATTCAAATATATTAATTGTAGTAAAATTACTTCCAACATGACGTCATGTTAATGCTCTTAAAAACTGTAAGTTATCTTTGAGCGTAAGTATATAATACTCATATTTTCTACCCAAATACAGTAGTCATACCGGTTAATGAGGGCGCGTTGTAAAATAGCTTAAATTTGAATAGTCTCGTCTCGATTATGTTATAAATTGGATTAGGAAATACAATTTAACTGAAACTTGTTTCAAAACACTTAAAGTATGAACGTTATATCAAAGCTGAAATATTAATTATGAATTAAAATTAAAAAGCCGTCTGAATTTTTATTTATACAGGATGTTCTTCACGACATAGTAGTACGGTATTAAACATCTGTAGGTTAATCTATAATGGAGCAATAAGCTATATTAAGCGCTCGGCTTCATTGCACATCGGTTATAATGTTCTTGCAATCAGTTCAGATATCTATATTTTTTTATATTTCTCGAAATTTCGAATATTTTGATGCAACATTCTAGGTGACATATGTGGGTGGGGTTGTTTTCGCCTGTACTAGTTTGGAAATTTCCCAAAATATTGAAGTACGAAGTAGTTTGATTTTGTTTCTTTTCTGGACTCTGAGGGACTAAATATTATGGTAAAACTTAAATCATGATAACGAACATCTTCCTAAGAAATTCAAGATTTTATTGCTTCACAGTCAAATTGTATAGGAAATTGTTAAGATAATCTTAAACAGTTGCATTGTGTTCACTAAGTGAATATGATTTGAGAATTATGTCATTATGACTTATGAGTCATACAGGGTGTTCAGTTTAACCTTAATTGGGCATGCTTTTATCAATTCATCCAAGCATTTTTCTAGTTTTTACTGACAAGTTTTAGAATGACCTCTGTTGAAATCTCTATTTCGTTATCAATACAGTTCACAAATCTGATCCATTCTCATACGTCTCTTGATTCAATCCTTTTACAGTAAATCAAAACTATTTGTGCCACACCACATATTCCTACTATATAACACTCATATATAAGATCAAATTTCCACATTGTTGGCTAATCAAGCTGCTCTACACCTTCAATCCGACTAGTTCCCACAACTCATTAAGATAATATCCTTCAGCCCAACAATCAGATATTATCTATTTCACAGGATCCCGATGCTCAACGAACTCCGCGATACCATCCCTAAGCTCACTATCACAGAACCTGGTAACTCCATGTTTTACGAAACAGCTTTCCCGCTCCACACCCCAAAATCCACTGCTAACTCCGACAATTCTTGTTACGAGAACACGGACTACTTCACCAGGATGGTTATACCCGTGGATGGTGATGATCAGAAACGGCTGACTATAAGCGTGGAACACTACACGTCAGTCCTCATTGAGGTGAATAATTCACACTTTTTTCTTGACATAATACTTATAAAACCATTATAAGTGACCCTCACAGAGGTTTCTTACGTGCGTTGATATTTCAATTTCAAATTTGATCTCTGCTTGACGTAAGGCACTTATGTCTCATAACCCACGCGGTTTCAACAGCGTAACCGTTTAGTTGTACACCACACTATAACTTTATCATTCGCTATTTCCTAATTTTCCAGTTCCATTAACTTACAAGTGATGATTATGTCAGGAGGAAGGTTGTGATGATGATCCCATTTACTCGCAGCCGATTAAACCTAAAACTAAAAAGATAAGCAGGAGTGAATGCGAGGATATTCTGGTATACGTTATACTACTATTGCCGTCTAAATGCCTATAAATTGCATGTCTGGCTCAATTAATGCATGTCAGGTCGCTTGATCATTAAGCCTAAATGGATGCTATAAAAGTCAGTGCTGATTTTGGTGCTTCCTCGAAAACGAATTTGTCATTTTAATGTTTTATGTCGGTTATTTTGTGATTGGCTAGATGGCATATATTTATTGATTTCTGGGTATCTCTATCGCTTGTTGCAGGAGAAGTGTAACGTAGGAGACTTCATGTTCCGACGAAATAAGGAGACGGTGAGTTTGTCTTTGAACTGTTTAAGATAGTAAAATACTGTGTTCATGCAATCATAAATAATTTAATGTGTTCAAGCTTAAATACGATCGCGATCGTCTAGAATGTTCTGTACATGAACACATTTAATTTCAGACCATTTTGTCAGTCAAGGTTCATACGAAGTGAGTTCTTTTCATACGACCACGAACTTTGACTTGAATCGTTTCCAAGATCTCTTTTTAAGTAACATAATTTTAATAAACCTCAAACTTCAAAGTTATCAAAAAGAAACAAAACTTTAAAAATGTTTACAATTTATAGCTGATTGATGTTGGGTTTCAACTAAAGATTGTTCAAACATAATCAATATTCGTTACAGAGTGAAACACATCAAGCTAGAGTTCGATAAAGACAGTGTTAAAGTCGGAAAGGAATCCTTTAACTCCCTCTCGGAAATGATAAAGTTTTACAAAACATCTGTCCCCGTTTCTCTGGTGACCGAGCCCGTTTTCCTGGTAGAAGAAATTGACTCACAAGGTTTGCCGACACATTCTCCATTTCAGTAAATTTATAATATTCGGCTGTTTAGAGCTTGATGTCATCATTCTATTGACAATTACATCTTGTTCCCGTCTCGTAGGTCAGGGGAAATGAATATCGTCATGAGTTACTATTTATACTCCTTCTTGGACCTGACCATGGTATTTTACTGAGAGCTAACTGTTATTCTGCTGCAATTCTGCTGCTATTCTGGTGTTCTGTGGAGGATGTGTTCAGGTGGCTGCAACTGCTGATACCCCCTTGTTACGTCCTCTCAAAACGTCGCCCAATGACCTGGGATGAAACACAAAATTAGAATCAATCACGACAACTATATAATTACTTGGTGATCCCTGGTTACCACCTGATTTATATTTCCGTAGTTGCGACAATTTGGTCTTTTGTCTGCATATTAATTCTACCTCTAATAGCAATTGTCGAGTTGGCTCTAATTGATCACTAGAATGTCATAGTGATTTATGGTCTGATTATCGAGTTGATTTTCGAAAATATCGGTTATTTTAAGTAACAATCAAATTTGTTCCAGATGTCTGATGGTTCCCTTATTTTTTAACAAAAATGGTCTACTTTTTCACAACTTTATAATCTTTTGTTCTAATTTATGATCTAAAATCCACTAAAGCCTATACACAAATAAACTAAAGCCAGCCTTTGGTATACACTATACAGCCAAAGTTCTGTAGCTCATTACTTGAGTCAGGACTTACGCTTTTTTGAAAAGTTTGACCACTGTGGGGGCTGGTGTTAGCATGATCGCTGGAGTTTCCTCTCCATCGCTCAACTTTCTGCTCGGCATCATCATTATAGTGTTTCTAATCCCCGTTGGGGATTGTGAGTTTGCTGGCCGTCTGAAAGAAGCATGAAATTACTTTTTAGTTATTTAACATCTGGTCGGGTGACAAGTAGAAATTGAAAGATTCAAGCAACATAAATGTAAAACTGCTTAACGTCGAATGATAGGTTGTAATTTTGTCTCGACAGTTGACGTAAGCTTGGGAATTGAGATTATATTAAATTATGCAACCTGCCACTTACTTGCCAGAGATAGCTATCCGACTCTCTGATTGACATTTCTTCAGAAGTTTCTTTTGGTTAAGCTGTAAGGTTTTCAGCGCAGGAAGCTGTCGTGGGTAGTCATGAACGTCTGTTTTCCGGGCTGACGATGGTTCGGCACGGTTATCATGTGACTGGTTGGAATGTTTGTCTTTGATGTTCTCGAACGCTGGTTTTATAGTTCTGTGGTCGGTTATTAGAAAGGGTTTTGCTTGATGTGCAGTCTGACTGCTGTGCTGAGGATGACACAATAGCTGAGTTGGGCCGCGGTAACGTCCGTTTGTCAGCTGGTCTCATAGAGTGGGAAGTTTTCTCCTTGCACTTCCTCTCGTTTTCCTCATCTGAAAGATCTAGCTTTGTTTGTGAGCTTGTGCCGACCGATACTGCAGATCTAGTCTCTATTCTGCGCTTTCTGGATACTGCCAAGGTTGCTTCTGATTGTGTTTTTATCATTGAAGGTTTGGTCCTGCTCTGGTCTGTCGGTGAAAGTTGTACTAGTTTTCTCAGCAAGGCGTTTGTTGATAGATCTGACGGTGATTTTATTTCTGATTTCCTGTGATTGGACGTTAATGCTGGGCTCGTGGCCTGCTTCCGTAGAGACTTTTGGCTTGGTTTTCCTTTTTCGCTTGCAAACGCACCTATCTTACGTAAGAAATCCTCGGTTGTCAATTTGTCGGCTTGTTCATCGCAATGAGAGGTGATTCCTAGTGTTTTAGCTGCCTTGCTTGGTACCTGAACAGCTTCAATACCCAGAGTCTTGGCTGCTTTACTTGAAACATTGGCTGGCATTGCCACAGCTTCCATTTCATGCACTCTATTTTCTCTCGGTTCTTTATCTTTAGACTTCATTGAAAACCTTTTAGAGCCACGAAGGCCTGTCTCTGATTTTCTCCCTTTCGCATTGCTTCCACCAAATTGTTCCTTTTTCTCTTTTGTCTTCGTTCTGAACATTGGTTCATCTTGATCTATACCGAGTCTCTGAGCAGCCTTGCTAGGGCACGTCGTCGCCAGCTGATCATTAATGTTGTCGAATGATTTGCTTTTCTGCGGAGATTCGTCGATAAAAAGCTGGTTTGACCTTGTGATGAACGTCTCGAGTTTTACGTCCGTAGAATCGAGTACTAAGGATTCACTCAAAAGATCTGGCTCGGACTGACTTCTTGGTCGTCTTCGTAACGAGCTGCCGGTTCGAGGAGAGGAATGAGGTTTGTGGGACACAACACGATTCAGCTTGTATATTTTTGGGTTTCCCCGAAAAATCTTTTTAAATGAATCAAACACGTTTTTGGACTCGTTATCATCTTGTTGCTTCTGCTTGCGTTTGGTTGACATTTCTAATTGAAAGGTGATGAAGATTTAGTAATAGTATGCATATTTATCGTATCGCATAAATAGCGAAATATTAAAACAGGATATCTGTACCAAATACCAACATACGAATTCTAGGTCCTGGTACAAATCTTGGTTGGGAGAACTGAGTGGCAGAGGTTTGGGTACTTAATTCCATTCATTTTCATAAGGGCTCCTAGAGACATCCTAACAACGCCCCCATATTATCACTACTGTTTTTGGATTCCAGAACATTTGCTTCGAAAGGGATCCATAACGTGACTTTACCTGCCTTCGCTACTTTGCACTTTCTTGATGAATAAGATATTTAACTAAATTATTAAGTAAAATCACTGCCACAATTGTTGCAAAACATTTACTAGACTTAACCTGTACAAACTACTTATGAAATCCTTAAAAATGAATACAGACTCATGTTATCAGATACAACTGAGGTCAAACTTCAAAGTCAAATCCAGCCATTCAAATTCGGCCTAAATCAATACCATCAATACCACGAGAAGGACCATAAGGATTCTATAAAACTTTGATCTCTACCTAATGACGTACGTCCAACAAAGAAAACAACTGAAAAGCAATATTTATAGCAGCTGACATCAGCTGTGCCACGAATACTGAATATGCAGTACATAACGGGGAGCATGGCTGGACAAGCAGAAGCAGAAATCACAGAGCTGCACAGCAATGACAGCAGAACTGCACAGCAATGACAGCAGAGCTGCACAGCAATGACAGCAGTGCTGTACAGCAATGACAGCAATGCTGCACAGCAGTGACAGCAATGCTGCACAGCAGTGACAGCAATGCTGCACAGCAGTGACAGCAATGCTGCACAGCAATGACAGCAATGCTGCACAGCGGTGACAGCGGTGCTGCACAGCGGTGACAGCGTTGCTGCAAGGCATTACACAACACTTGCTAACAGTAACCAACAGGGGTGCTGCAAGGCATTACACAACACTTGCTAACAGTAACCAACAGGGGTTCTCTATACAGTTGGCCGGCCTTGTAACCAGAGCTTAAATTTATTAGGAAAGCTACTGAATCGTATTCGTGCCACTTGGGCGACTCCTGGCAGTAGAGGAGATCTGGGCGGGCTAGTTATCTGATACAAACATGTGGAGAGTGAGGAGAGAGAGAGAGAGAGAGTGTAAGGTCTCTGAGCTTATGACGTCACGTAAACCCTCTGTCTGGTTCATATTTCGGTTAATCAGCTTCCGAAAACAATGGAAACCATGAGGGAAGTTAATTACCAATTCTATTGTCAGACTTTTGTTCTTTTTGTAAATTAGCATCGACTATTAGGCTGGATCATTGGGTCGTTCTTAAACGAGAGAAAACGGCGTACTAGTAACCTAAGACATAAACAATTAACCTTTTATCTTTTCAAATTTAATTTGTGGTTATATGTAAAACATCCGTCAGATATATAGATTTAACCTAACGACCAAAAACTATCAAATCCCATTCAACTCGAGCAATTCGACCATTTCTGGAAGTCTCAGACAGCATATGAGACAGCATGTGAAGGATCCGATGATACAATTTATAAATTAGAAACTTTAGAGTTGGAGCCTGTCAGTATTCACCATGCGGGTCATTGACTAAAGTGCCTCTCCTCGATATTATTAGATCGCATATGGTACCCCCTGCGTCACCACCACTCAATATACACAAAACAAACTAAACCGTAATCAAGGGAGACTGATCCAGTGTTGTGGAGAAATGAGAATTGGGATTATCTTCCAGCTGCCAAAGTGCCACAACTCCTGCACAATAATATACCTTGTCTGCAGTAGAGCTAAAGTGCTGTATCCCAGCTCACTGCTACTACACTGACAGTGGTTCGGTGCCGGTTCTGGTTTAAGAGCAGGTGTGTGGGTCGTGGGCAAATAGTGCCTGATAACAACACCCACCCCCGGTGGTTTTGTGACCCATTTTGTGTCATGATCCTAGCACAAGGGTGTCATGTCGCACTCAACCGTGAATATTTTGAGTATGTAATATGTGGAAAACTGGTAAATCTAGTCCTGGTGGACAGGTGGCATGTTCTGGTTCAATCTAAGTGCATTATTGTCAGACTCTCCAGATACGAGAATACTCGTGATTTTAAAGAACAAAGGTCAAAGCTATATTTAAAAATCATTTTACAGTTCATAAATACAAATAGTGGTGGTTCTTATAGAAGTTATCATACATAGAGTAACTTAATGGCTGCCATTGAAGTCAGTTTTATTCTAAACGCTATACATTAGCCTATCTAAAATCGCAATGCTTCTTCAATACAATGAGTATCAAGACCGCTCGCCATAATTAGCATTCGACTAGATCATGGAACACAAACTAAAGAGGAAAGAAAAGTCTGAACTGTAAATGTTTACCACACCATTTTTATCCAGGATCCTAGCTGTTTATATATGGCCACATCATGCCCTTCTTACTACCTTATTTCATTTAAACGAAAGTATTACAGTGTAACCAAATATCAATAGTTTTGCCGCCGTCACCGTAATGGCTCGGATGGATGGGCTTACGGTCCAACATTAACTTTGATCAAGGAACTGAGTGAAGTGAGTGTGACGTAGAAATGAGGTAATGCCCCTTTTCTAGAGTCGGCACACGATCTGTGACATACAGAAATCATTACCTCGTGGTATTCGTTGGAAATCGAATTTCTCCAACAACAATTTGAGAATTTAGTATTCATGGCAGAACTCAAAAGTTACTAGGAGCAATGAGCATCCCTTCCTAATCGGGTGTTTAGGGTCTGGTGTTACGTCGTACTAAGTCTAGGCTATTAAAGAAGATCGTCGCTTTAATCTTTTTGATATTCGATCTAGCCAATTCGATGAGCTATCCAAGAACACAATATGCTTCTTGAATCTTGATCGATTTGTCTCTTGACAAGCTGATCCTTTGATTCTCCACTATCATTGACTGTGGCTCTCTTATTTTTCATCATGATCAACGATCAGCATTTACGCCACACCCTTGGAGCATATAATAAAAAGGGAGTGCTTTGGCCTTTGACGTGGGCGAACTATCATAGCAAAATACAAATTCATTATTCTTACTATACCCAGGTCTCGTATATCGTGCAAAAAAATGGGAGGGTGGGGCTGGGATCATCAACATTCTGATGAAAATGCATGCCATAAGCCTCTTCGCAATTTCAGGAAAAACCTAGATTTTTAACATCCATTATAGTATTAGTAAATATCTTTGAACATTTCGAAAACGCCGGAAATTTCGAAACAGTGATATGTTCTGTGCTATACTTTGAAAATTTTGGAATCTGTTTCAAATTGTTTTCCAATTTCTCACCTCATCAGACCAAGTTGGCAGAGTAGTCCATAAAAGTAAGCACGATGAGGTAAAATCTACTTCTCTGACATTTCATATTCGTCAATGGTTATGCTTTATTAAACTGTTTTAAATAGTTAAATGGTTTTGACCATATTGGGCAGTAGCAAATTAGTATTATTTTGTATATTTTCAGTTCCTCGTTTTCATTGGATATTTACGGAACGGTGGTCAAAGTTGCTATATATATTAAGTGCATCCGTTTTTAATGGAACATTTAAAATGCTCATTTTATACCACTTAACCAGAAAAATACAGCCTATTTTTATCTTAATACCTTATGGTTGGTTTTTTGCTCTGTCAAACCCTGGTTTAGCAGCCTGGGAAGTAAATTAAATATCAGATAGAAGTTTCTGATGAATTTTGATTTGTAAATCTATATTTAGATTAAAGAAAAATGAATCAAATGAATCAAAGCAAGCTGGTAACTATCGTGAAAGTAAATGAAGGCAAGCTGGTAACTATCGTGAAAATGATCAAGCAAAATTGAGAGGAAGACCACATTCGTCCAACATGTTATTTGGCAAATGAGACCTTCGTTGTGTCAACCTGTATATTGTATTAGTTCCATTTGCTCACGTCCTCATCGAATAACGACTAGTAGTATAGTGAAAGTAACAATATGCCACTGACTATGACTGAATTTCATTAACCTGTTGTAATTTGCGGACCACCTGGATTTTTCGTATGACGTACCTAATAATATTAGTAATATGTATTCAATGGTTGGTACAGTGAACAGTTAACATTGGAAGGTCTGATCACCAAGTACGACATTCATTAAATTCATATCCGATTTGTCGTTAGCAATATTCACGGTTACAAGGTTGAATCGTCCAGCAAATACAAACCATAAGCACTGATACCGATGGCAAATAGGTAATAAGTAAGTAATAACTGTGAGGAGAGCAGGTTATTTCTTGGTGGGATATATTGCCCGCACCTCTAGTACCTGTAAATGGTGATTATTAACTGTGGCCCCTATCGTATTTCAACTGTGGTGCTGCAAGGCTAGGTGACATGGACACCGTCCAGTTTAATCAAAGGTATCAATAATACCTTTGAGTATATTGATCCTTTTTATGGTAATTTATAATATATTTGTGTCTCCTAGATGAGTCTGGCAAGACCGCAATTGCAACAGGCGCTCAATTCAGATGCACTCTAAATTCCGACAGCAGTTAGGAAAAGTATGGCACCCAATTCCACAGTAAATTCTTAGGAGCGAACGGAATTATGACTCCAGAACAAAAGCAATCGATTTCTAGGAGTAGTTACTCCTAGAAATCAATTGCTTTTGTTCTTGAGTCAGAATTCTGTTCTTTGTGATATTTTACCTTAGCTGAAATTTAGTCACCTGATGTTAACCCGTTAACGGAATTAGGGCACTGCCATTTCGGAAACCTAATTTTCTAGTAACCATCGCCGGGTAACATTAAATATAATTACTTCCACTTTTAGCTAATCTAGATTAGCTAAAAGTGGAAGTAATTATATTTAATGTTACCACTACAATATTGACTCCTGTTTGAAGCAGCACGTGCCAGAATAAATTGCAATATAATAACGCCACAAGACACTATCAAGATGGATCTTATTTATACTCCACGGTTCTACATCAATCATATCATAAAGGAGA